TGCCTACCAGGTACTGAGATTAAAGGTGTGTGCTACCGTGCCAGGCTATTAACTTTTAATTAAATTATTTTAAATTAAAATTTTTTTAAATTAAAAAGATTGACAGAGGAGTTGAGTAGGGATAAGGCATGCTCCCTAGGGTGAGTCTATTGCTGGGTCTGCAGGCATCGGTAGGATTGTCCTAGAGATAGTTTAGTCCAGGTTATAAATGGCCTCAGCAGTTTCATTTTCCCGTCTTACTCTTACCGTCACCTTTATGTTGTCTTAGCTTCTTCCCAAGATGTGGTGTTGACAGTGTCTCAGTTTCTCCTGCTTTCTTTACTATAGTTTAATTGCAAGTCTCTGGACTGTCGGGAATACCTATAGGCAACATTGGAGGGAAAGAAAATACATTCTGAAACCAAACAGAGGCTCAGCGTTAACCACTGGGCGATTTGTCACTACTAAGCTCTGTAGCTATACAGACTGGGTTCAAATGGGAACTCCTATCACCTCGGAGACCTTGCCTGACTTATTTATTTATTTCAAGTCCCTAAGCCCTGGTTTGTTCATCTGTACTTTCCATAGAGTATGATGCTATTAGGTGAGATCATAGTAAGTAGCACAGTGTCTGCCACATGGTGAGTATATAGTAATAGATGCTGCTAATTACAACACTGGTTTGTGATTGGCCATGCTTTTGTAGGTTCAAACACAACAGAAGGCAGCTTAAGGGTTAGAATCAATGATGGTTAATTATAAATCAGCTTGGAATACTTTATTCTCAAAGCTTAAAGGGGGATGTATGATTGTGTCCCTATTAGTTAAATTTAATACTTCTCAGATCCTCAGTGGAGTTCTCTGCTACAGAGGTCCAAAGCCATGCTTCCTATGGGCAACCATTAAGCACAGTTAACGGCTGGTCAATGTGGGTTAAACTGGCTGGGGTTCTTTTGTTTGGAGACATCTGTGAAGGGACATAAGAAAAAGACTTGGCAAACTAAGGCTCGTCACATTTGTTTGGTTGGTTGAAATTTATTGAATTGTGGGACCCAGTGGTGTGATCCCAGCTTGATGAGATTCTCTGTAGGTTTTTAAGATATTGGTTAGAGACAACCTGAGAGAAAATGGCTTAAAACTTTAGAGGAAAGGATTTAGGTGGGTTAATCAGGAGAAACATTTTCTGACAACACAGCATGTTAAACTTTATTTTATTTTATTTTATTTTTTGACAGCTAGTATTTTATTCAGATAGCAGTCCCGTTACATGTGGTCCAAGAACATTCAAATAAGAACACAAATCAGTGGGGGCTGGAGAGATGGCTCAGAGGTTAAGAGCACTGACTGTTCTTCCAGAGGTCCTGAGTTCAAATCCCAGCAACCACATGGTGGCTCACAACCATCTGTAATGAGATTTGATGCCCTCTTCTGGTGTGTCTGAAGACAGCTACAGTGTACTCATAAATAAAATAAATAAATCTTTAAAAAAAAAAAAAAAAAAAAAAGAACACAAATCAGAAGTTAAAGATTGGTCCTCAAACATCATAGCCAACAATGCCACGTTTGCCTATGATCTCTCCGATATAAAACCACATCCATACCTCAGTGGCCTCCAAACCATTCAGCACAGCTTCCTTAACTGTAAGGTGTTTGAAGCTACCAGTTTTAGCACTTTGAATTATTTTTTTCATGCTCTGAATAGCTGTAGGGATTTCACCAGGAGTTGGGGGAACCAGCTCAACCTTGGCATAGTGCCAAAATGTGGCCAATCGAGAGGCTTCGAGTAAGTCATGGCAGCGGCCACCATCAAGGGTGCCTTCTCTGCGAAGCTGTGGACGAACTTGGCCATGATCTAAGGTGGAAGGTACTTCTCCCCGAACCACCGGCTGAATGTCCGAATGTTAAACTTTAAAGCAAGGTAACATGGAGTCTTGTGCCATTTTCTTCTCAGGGCGGGGCTTCAGTGGGGAAAGTAGAGATGAAGCTGCAAATGGAGCTGCTGATGCTTCCTTGTAGGGGCATCAGAGCCTGGGCTCACCTAGGGGTAATCACCTAGGTGTAAGTCAGCTAGAGCCCCAGGGGGTCACCATCCTGCCTGTGCTTTTTTTTTTTCTTTTAAAAGCCTTTTATTACTTTTATCTTTTAAGGATTTATTTATTTTATGTTAGTGAGTACACTGTAACTGTCTTCAGACACTCCAGAAGAGGGCATCAGATTCCATTACAGATGGTTGTGAGCCACCATTCGGTTGCTGGGAATTGACCTCAGGACCTCTGGAAGAGCAGCCAGTGCTCTTAACTGCTGAGCCATCTCTCCAGCCCCCTGCCTGTATTTTCTTATCTTCTGGGATAACTCAATGACTAACTTAATCACTACACTGTCTAACAAGGAGTTCACAGTTTTTCTTCCCGGTTTTTTATTTTTTAAAACCTCTTGATTAGTTAGTAATGGGAATGGCTCAGGTTCATTTACTTAATTTAATGTGCTTTTCGTAGTTTTGTGAGTTGAACTTTCCTTAAGAATTATTTTTATTTGGTTTGTATGGGCTTTTGCTTGCACATATGTATATGCAGTGTCCATCAAGGCCAGAAGAGAAGGTGGAATTCCCTGGACCTGCAGTTACAGAAGGTTGTGAGCCACTGTGTGGGTGGTGGGAATAGAACCTGGGTTCTCCAGAAGAGCAAGCAGTGCTCTTAACTGCTGAGCCATCTTTCCAGTGCTTAGTTTTATGAGTTTTGACAAACATGGGTTTTTTTTTTTTTTAACATCAAAGTAAGCAGAAAGAGCTAGATGTTTATGTCTCACTAGGGGGAGAAGAGCTGCAGCATCAAGAATGACAACATGGTGGCCCTGAGGAGAGTTCTGTGGGAATCAGTGTCAGTCTGCCTTGTGTTAGACCTAGTTGGTTTCTTCCCTCTCAAGCTAAGCAGACTGATACACCTCCTGCTCTCCTATAGTTGATGTCGGCTTGAGCTGGATTTTTTTTTTGATTGCATTAATTTGATGTCTAGTATTCAGTAGAGAAATACATGAGTCAATCATGAATGATTTTAGGTTTAAGAAGTGAGATGTGTCTCTGTGATTTGGGTCATTTTTGCTTCACTTGTAAAACAGTCTAGGACTGGAATTTTAGTTATAACAATAACAGGTCCTATCTAAATTTTCAGAGCAATTTCGTTTAAGCTGGTCCTTTTGTTCCTATAAGTAATGTATATGAAAACAACATGCTTTGATTTTTCGGTTAGAAAAATATGATCAGTGTAATTTATAGCAGCAGAAAGAAGATTGGCCGGTAGGATGTTCCTCTCTAAGCTTAGCTTATTTCAAGTGCTAAACTGGGCATTTATAGAAGTTGAGAACCATGTATGGGCTGTGCCTAAATAATTCTGAGTCTGGAGTAGAGAAAACTGCCTCCATTTTAATGCCTACTATGTATATCCTTGGCACTGTGCTAGGTGCTTTCCCTACTGACAGCTGCTTGGTTAGAATTCTAGCCTAGATCCAACAGCTCTTTAAATGAAAATGACAATGAAGCTATGGATGTATCTTGGGTTCAGTTCATTAATAGTTGTCACAGCTGCCACACCTTTTATAAGACCCTGACACCATAATTAGGATAATTAAATCTCTGGGCCTGGATCGTTTAGGTCATTGAGTTAGTAGGGGTGACAGCTGTTCTCTTTGCTACTAGTTTGAGGATCACAATGCTCAGTTCTTTCAATGGGAGGTGCAAAGCGTCTGGGGCTGCTGCAATCCCATAAAAGAAAGGGCAGAGAGACACAAATAGGAAGCTTGAAGGGGAGTGGGAACAAGAAGACAATGCAAAACAACAACAAAATAAAAACTGCCAGAGACATAGAATGGGACAATGGAGGCCTTACTTAAGTTCAAGCAGAGGTCTACAGAAGGGATCCTGACCGACACTGGCAAACCCCATAAAGTCTTGTCTCTTCCATTTCACCATCTCAGAGGTACTAGCTATCCTCAATTCTCCTCTTTGCCCTTTCTCTGAAAAGCCAGGAGACTCTTCTTTTCCATGGAAGTCAGTGAAGGGGCCGAAACCCTCAAGTGTGAGTAGTGAGTACCCCCATCCTTCAGGCAAGGATATTTATTTCATGCCCTCTTAATGTCCCTTCGGTTCAAGGATACTGTCATTCTGTCTGTATTAGGGGGAGGGCCTGCGACGTCCATGCTACCATGGAAACACGCCGCCGTGTTCCATTTCTTACGCGAGGGGCGGGCACTTCACCCCAGCCACCTATCATCCATAGGATTTCCTGAGTGGCAGACAACAACAGCGAATGGGCGGTCCGATACTAAGTGACGTGACGGGAAAAGGGGGAGCTCGCGGCCAGTGGCGGCGGTGGCTACGGTGGCGACCTGGGGATCGACCTGGAGGGGCCTGGGCAGCGTGCAGAGATCTATAGATCCAGCGCGAGGGACCTCTCGCCGGGATGCCAGGTAGTGCTGCGAGCAAAGCCGTGAGAGCCGGCCGCGGAGACCCGGGTGGCGGGCTTGAAGGGCTGGCCGCCCGTAGGGGGCGGGGTGGCAAGCATGGCGGCGGTGACGGGGACGGGGTTGGAGGGCCCGGGGAGGGGGTGGGGTGGCGGCCACCGCGGTGGTCCTGAGGCCGCATGAGAGCCATGGCTTCCCGCCCGCCGGGGTTGCGAAGAGGTCTTCCCGGGGCCCAGTGGCGTCAGAACGCGGGCAGAGTTGTGTGGGGGATGGAAAGGGGCGGGGAGAAGAGGTGAGGAGGGAAGGGTGTCTGAGGGAAGGTGAAGAGAAAGGAGGGAGGGAGGGAATCGAAGGATCCAGAGGCTCGGTGATAAATAACGGAGAAATGAGGGCTGGGCAGATAGCTGAGAAAGTACCAAGAGCGATTGCAAATGTGGGCTGCTCAGGAGCTCTAGAATGGTCCGTTTCTCGCTCTCACACTTCCGCCCCATTATTTAGTCTCGGATTGTGTGAGGAAGGCTCAGTAGGGTTACTCTCCGTACTGATCTTTTGTTATTCCATTCCAGGGGAGCAGATGGACCCTACTGGAAGTCAGTTGGATTCAGATTTCTCTCAGCAAGACACTCCTTGCCTGATAATAGAAGATTCTCAGCCTGAAAGCCAGGTTCTGGAAGAAGATGCAGGTTCTCACTTCAGCGTACTGTCTCGACACCTTCCTAATCTGCAGATGCACAAAGAGAACCCCGTGTTGGTGAGTGAGTGATGCCGAGTTCGAAAATGGTTGAACAGAGTTGAGTTCTTTTTTTTTTTTTCCTACCCCTAAACCAAACCAACCCCGAAAACTAACGTGTTTAGTTGATGATTATCTTTTGGATAAAGCTGATGGGGGAAAAAAATAAAACGAACGTGTTCTCACACACAGAAAAGTCCCTTTTGTACTACTTTGTGTACTGTGAGGATCTTACATACTCGTATTTTCTAGGATATTGTGTCAAATCCAGAACAAACTGCTGCAGAACAAGGAGACAGTAATAGCTCGTTCAATGAGCATCTGACAGAAAACAGAGCTTCAGGTGAGCAGCGGAAGGCTCGGATCTCCTGTGTAGTGTTTACGGTCCTGTTGGGGCAGAGAGATTTAAACACACAGTTGAGATTATGTGTAAGGAAGCCTAGTTATGTAGTGTACAGCAAGCCTTCAGAAATGCATGATTAGTTTGGTGTTGCCCACATTTCTGAGTTTGTATTAAAATTTGGTGGCAAACGTCTTCTGTGCTAATATCCCACTACTACTGTCTTTTTCAGAGCCTGTGGAGTCTTCTCATTTGGGTACGAGTGGCTCCATCAGTCAGGTCATAGAAAGGTTACCTCAGCCAAACAGGACAAGCAGGTAAACTACTGTTTCAGTCAAAGGAATTGATTTCAGTTTATTATTCGATCAACTCTTAACTGTACCTGCTGACTCATTCCAAAGATAAAAAGATTTATCTTGTTTTGTGAATTAGGGAGTGGGATTTGGTGATTACATAGGTAGTATTGTTTTAGGGCTGAGAGCTGGGATCTCTTTGGTGAAGTAGCACTTTGTGTAATTACAACTTCAAGATTTATTGTGTCTCATGCATATCACAATGATAGTGTCCTCTGTGTTAGGCCCGATAGTGACTTGTGACATAATCTTAGTTAATTCTATCCTTAAGCAGCTGTGCAGTAAAGACATTGTCCCCAGTGGGGTTACTGGTGGGCAAGGAAGTTAAAGGACTTGCTTGACTGTGTTACTACTCTGTTTCTCAGGTTTCTGCCTGGTTCTTCTAAGGTCAGAGAACACAGACAACCTTAGTAGTCTGAGGAGGTAGGCTGAGGGGGAGGTAGTTAAGAAAGAGGGATGTTAGCTTGACATGTTTGCAACTGTTGCTTTACCTTAAAACAAAGTGCTTTTTCTAGTGTATTTTACATTGTATATATTCATAAATTTTTCCCTCAAGAGGAAGTGAATGCTTTTTAACAGTCTGCAAACTAGTGGGCTCATCTTGGCCATTGGTTAACTTTTATTAGGCTCATAATGTTAAAATATATTTGAAGGAGTTTGAATTTAAAAGTGGGAGCCTGGTATGGTTTTGTACAACTTTAATTCCAGTGCTGCTGGGGCAGAAGTGGGTAGGTCTATGTGAATCCAAGGCCATCCTGGTCTTCAAGTAGACTTTCCAGACCAGCCAGGGCTATAAAGTGAGAACCTCTCCCCCAATGAATGAATGAATGAATGAATGAATGAATGAATTTCTTATGTAACTTGCATTTCTGGCTTTTGGGATTGGTAGTCCTTCTTAATGTCTACAGTTTGACACAAGGATTACAGGTGGACACCTCTGCCAAGCATTCCTTGCCATTTGTCACGGTACTTATTCCTATACCCAGCTGCTTCACTTATCTGTGACTGTGTTGTTTGTTTAGTTTTTGAGACACAGTCTCATTCTGTAGTCCAAGCTGTTCTGGAACTCTCTGTGTTGTGCAGTCTGACCTCTAATAGTAGTGATCCTCCAGTCTCAGTCCTCAGTTGCTGAGATGATGGGTGAGCTATCACGACTGGTGCCATTTACCTGTTTGCTATCTTTCTTTGCATTGGTTTATAATGTCTTTTAGGAACTCATGCCTGGCACAGATGTGCTTTTCTGGCTTGTAACCTGGGGTGCATGGGAGGGACAAGAACTGGCATACTCCGTTGTAAATACAGCAGTGCTGTTTGCCATGTTCCATGCTGCTTTTCCGTTTTGAAATCAGTGTGTTGCTCTTGTTCTTTGTGTAGATACAGACTTTATGGCAGTGTTGAATAGATGTGTTGGGCCCTGTACTTTAGAGGGCTTTGTTATCACGGGGCTTGTAACTTTATAGTGGGAGACCAGGCTTTCCATCAGTCCTAAGTTACAGTTATGATCATTACAGAGAGAACAATATATAAACAATCCAGTTGTGAGTAAAGGAATACTTCTCTGAGGAATGCAGTCTAAACAGTAAATGCATATGTGTTAGTCACAGTTAAGGGGTTGAAAGGCTGCCTTGGCGTGTGAGAGGAGGAGCTTACATTTCATGTGCAAAGGCCACAAAGCTGGGGAGAATTTGAGGCTGATCCCAAAAGAAGTTTTTCAGAACAAAAATACACACAAACACCTCCCCAGCAAATACAAATAGCATACACATATATGCATATAGCATACATATACACAGTACACATGCACACATAGCACATATACACACAGCACACACACATACATGCACATAGAATCTTTTTTGAATAGCAGATATTTTGAAACAAAAACTCTGCTTGGGAAAATTTTTCTGTGTTATAAAATCCCCCCCCAACCCCAAAATCTTGTTTTACCCAGTGTTCTGATGATATGAACAGATGTTCCTAAATAGGGAATGTCCTATAATATAGCATGGAAGGAATGTATATGTTTAAATTTTCCCATCAAATTAAAAAAATTTTTTTGTTGTGTATGAGGGGGCAGTTACACACATGTACTGTGGAGGTCAGAGGATAGCTTACGGGATGGATGGAAGCAGTTCTTTTCTTCTGCCATGTGGATTTTGGGGTTTGAAATTAGATCAACAGGCTTGGTGGCAAGTATCTCTACTGACTGAGTCATTTTCCTGGCCCCAAACATTGTCATTTGAAAGATTCATTTTTATGTATTTAACTTTTTAAGGTTTTATTTATTTTCATTTTATGTGTAATGGGTATTTGCCTGTATGTTTATGTCTGTATGTTTATGTCTGTGTATAATGTGTAGTGAGTGCCCTATGAGGCCAGGAGAAGGTGTTGGATCCTCTGGAAACTGAGTTACAGATGGTTGTTAGCTGCCACATGGGTGCAAGGAATTGACCCCAGTCCTCTGGAAGAACAGCCAATGCTCTTAACTGTGGTGCCATTTCTGTAGTCTAACATATTTATTTTCATATTTCATTTAGAGCTTTGTGTATCTTAAGCAAGCTGTCTACTTCTGAGCTATATCTAAAGCCCCCATGAAACATATTTAAATTAGGATACTTGAACACTCACATACTATTGTAAAAAATAATGCAGAACTTATTGTGGTGGTACATACATGTAAATTTAGTAATTGGGAGGCCCAGGCAGGAAGACCATTTTGGAGTTTGAGGCCAACTTGGACTACACAGTGAGTTCAAGAATAACCTAGCATACATAGTGAATCTATCTCAACAAACAAAACTAAAAACAAACAAAATACAGGGAGAAATTGAGTATACTTGGCCTTGTGTCTGTTACGGTAACTTCTTACAAAACTATACTCTGATAGCCAGAAGACTGATTCATAGCATTCTCTTAGATCTGTTATATTGTGGGTGGGTATTGTGTATTTGGTTTATCACTTGTGTGGATTTGTGTATCTGCCACTATAGTCAAGAGACTGAACAGGGATGTCTGATATTCTTTCTAAAGTTATACCTCCCTTCATTGGCTGTACCTGAAGCTTTAGTAGTTATTAACCTATGTTAATTTCACAAATTTATTTCAAAATATATAAATATGCAAGTATATGTTCTAACAGCATAACTCCTGGAGGCCCATCAAAGTGTTTCCATGTATCTGAGTAGTCTTTTGGAGTGTATCAGATACACTGTTATTCATAGATTGAAGCATATCTTTTCTTTTTAAGTTTTTTTTTTAGAATTATTTATTTTATGTATATAAGTACATAGTAGCTGTCTTCAGACACACCAGAAGAGGGCATCAGATCACTTTACAGATGGTTCTGAGCCACCATGTAGTTGCTGAGAATTGAACTCAGGATCTCTGGAAGAACAGTCAGTGCTCTTAACCACTGAGCCATCTCTCCAGCCCCCTTTTAAGTTTTTGATTATTATAAATAAAACTGTTATAAGTACTTGTGCAAATTATTATTATTATTTTATGTCTTTGTGTATGTATGTGGGTGTGCATGTGGAGGTCAGAGAGGACAACTTGATTTTCTTCTTTGACCATGTGTGACCCTGGGATTGAGTGAACAAAGATTGTCAGGCTTGATGTGTGTGTGTGTGTGTGTGTGTGTGTGTGTGTGTGTATATATATATATATATATATGTATATATATATATATATATGTGTGTGTGTGTGTGTGTGTGTATTTACACAAAGTCAGGAAGCTTGCTCAACAGGCAGAGGCTATCTTTTCTTTCTTTCTTTTTTTTTTTTTTTTAAGAGAGACAACTCACTGTATAGCTCTAGTTGGCCTGGAGCTTGCTGTGTGGGCCAGGGTAGTCTTCAACTCACAGATCTGCCTGTTTCTGCCTCCTGAGTACTGACTAAGGTGTGACTACTGTGGTTGGCACGCTGCAAATTGCTTATGTGAATCTAAGCTTTCATTTCTTTAATAATGCCCAGGTTTTTGTTTGGCTATGTGGTAGTTGCATTAGTTTTTTGACCAAACTTCCAGAGTGTTGGAGAGCATGTATGGCATCCAGCAGTGTGTAAGTGTTATAATTTTTGTTCTCACCAGCTGTTATTATTTTCACTGTTCTCTTTTGGGGTGCTCAGGGTTGAACTTGAGGTTTCAGTCATTCTAAACAGTATTCTATGACTAGGTTATACTATCAGCCCCTTCACTATTTATAAATCACAATATATACAAATTAAAAATATTTTTGCAAGTGTCTCATGTATCCCCGGTCAGTCTCAAACCCCCATCTTGCTGTGCAGCTGAGGATGACCCTTAAACTTTTGATGTTCCTGCCCCTACCTTTCAATTACTGGAAATGCAGGCATTCATCACCTGCCTCGTTTATGAGGTGAGGGTGGAGTCCTTAGCCTTATGTACTCTAGGGAAGCACTTTCCCAGCTGAGCCAGCCCTGATAAGTGTATAGTAATATTTCATTGTGTTGGAATTTTTATTTTCCTAATGGCAAATGAGGTTGAACCTTTTATGTGCTTCTTTGCCATCTGCAATCCTCTTCAGGGGAAATGTCTGTCTATGTCTTTTGCCCATTTTTTTTTTTTTTTAATTTTTATTGGATGTTTTATTTACATTTCCTATGTTGTCCCCTTACCCCATCCCCCACCCACCCTCTTTTGCCCATTTTTAAATTGAATGATTTATTTTTTTACTTGCTCCTAGGAGTTGAACTTGAGGCTTTGTGCGTGGCACAGTTCTTTACTGCTCAGCTGTGTCCTTAGCCCTATTTTTTGGGGGAGTAGGGTGGTGTTCAAGTCAGGGTGTCTGTGCATCCCTGGCTGTCCTGTTCTCTCTGTAGCCCAGGCTGGCCTCAAGCTCACAGAGAATCTGCCTGCCTCTGTGTCTGGAGTGCTGGGATTAAAGACATGAGCTCCCATTGCTTGGCCCCTATTGTGTCTAGAGAGTGCTTTGTAAATTCTGGATGTGGTTCTTTGTAGCTGTGTTGGTTTGGTTTGTCATTATTCTCACTGTGTAGCTTGTCTTTTCATTCCCTTGTAAGAATGAACTTCTTTTTCACAGAGCAAGTTTTATATTTTTATGACATTTTTAAAGTATTTTAATAGGCTAGCATGACTAGTAGTTTATTTTAGAAGGTTCAGGGTAGAAGTGGATGAGCAGTCAGTGAGATCTGAGATCTGAAAATAGGGTTTGAAGATGGAGGATGAGTGGAGCATCAGTGGGAAGGCGGAATGACAGTTCTGGTCTTCTTTGAGCAGGTTGGATTGTAGATGGGTGGAGACCCATCAGAAGTGGAGTGATGAGCAGGCGGTTCATATGCTGACTGGAGAGCTACATTGTGGAGTCATATGGATAGTACTGAAGTTAAAACTTTGGGAGTCAGGGGTGGTGGTGCACATCCAGGACTCCAATGCTCTGGATGCTGAGGCAGTAGGATTGTGTTGAGTTCAAGTCAGCCTGAGTTACATACTAGGCTAGCTTGGTTATTCAGATTGAGACTTTCTTGTTTGTTTTTTGAGACAGAGTTTCCCCATGTAACCCTGGCTGTCCTAGAACTCTTTCTGTAGACCAGGTTGGCCACCAGGCCAGGCTCAGGACATTTTCTTAATTAGTGGCTGATGGGGGAAGGCCCAGTCCATTGTGGGTAGGGTCACCCCTGGGGTGGTGTTCCTGGGTTCTATAAAGGCTGAGAAAGCCATGGGAAGCAAGCCAGTAAGCAGCATTCATGGCCCCTGCATCAGCTCCTGCCACCACTGCCTAGCTAGGTTGAGACTTTCTCAAACAAACAAACAAACAAACAAACTCACTCCACAGATTCTGAGTAAGGGTTGAATACAGCTGGAGAAGAGGTCCAAGGCTAATCAAGCTCACCTCCACTTAGCTATCAGGGACGTAAGGAAGAGCCATCAACAGACAGAAGGCTCAGGTGTATGGTTTTCTTTACATTTAAAAAACTTTTGTGTGTGTGTAGACACGTGCATGTCACTGCCTGTGTTTGGAGGTCGGTACAGCTTGTGGAAGTTGGTTCTTTCCTTTTACCATATGAAGGGCTATGGTTAGAATTTAGATTGCTACTTCCATTATGTGGTTTCAGAGAATGAACCCAAGTCATACCCAATGATCCATCTCACTGGCCCAGAGTTTTTCATTTTATTTATTAAGACAGGCGGTAGTGGCACATACCTTTAAACCCAGCACTTGGGAGCCAGAGGCAGGTGGATCTCCAAGTTTGAGGCTAGCCTGGTCTACAGAAGGAGTTCCAGGACAGCCAGGGCTACACAGAAAAACCTAGTCTTGAAAAACAAAATCAAGTTTATATTTACTTCTCATTAAGTGTATGTATCTATGACAGTTTGTGTGTTTGGTGCTAGTGTAGATCACCAGAAGGCATTTGGTCCCCTGAAGCTAGACTGGTAGTCAGTTATGAGCTATTTGAGATGGATGTTGGGATCTGAACTTAGGTCTTCTGTAAGAAACTGACTTCATGCTGTTAATTACTGAGTCACCTCTTCTGCCCAGGTTCTTATTTGAAAAGAGATAAACTAGTGCATTTCTTTCCTTTCTGTGTATGTGTATACTTTGAGGGACTGACATGGGATAGTAAACACTCATAGTTCCCCTTTAAATGTTTTAGCACTTGTCCCTGAAAAGTATAACATCTTAAGTGATTGTAGTACAATAATATTAATCCCAGGGTTGCAGAGATGGCTCAGCAGATGAGAGCATTTGCTGCTCATGCAAAGACCCAAGTTCAGGAGCCAAATTTCGTTCCCACCACCAATGTGGCTTACAAACATTCATAACTCCAGTTCCAGGGGTATGCAATCCTCTTCTAACTTCTGCAGGCACCGTGAATGCATGTGGTGCAGGTAAAACACTGGTATACATAAAATATAAATATATAAACAGACTTGGGGCTGGAAAGATGGCACAGGGTTAAGAGCACTGTGTGCTCTTTCAGAGGTACTGAGTTCAATTCCCAGCACCTGCGTGGCAGCTCACAGTTGTCTGTAACTACAACTCCAGGGGATCCGGTACCTTCACACAGACTTGCAGGTAAAACACCAGTGCACATGAAATAAAAATAAAATAAAAAAATTAAATATATAAATAGATAATTCCATACTAACGATTCAATTTAGACTCAGAATTACTTCCAGTTGGGTCAAAGATGTCTTTTATATTATATTTTATTTATTTATTGGATTTAGGATACAATATAACTTCACATATTATATAAATTGTTTCAAACTTTTTGTTGTTGTTCCTTCCTTCCTTCCTTCCTTCCTTCCTTCCTTCCTTCCTTCCTTTCTTCCTCCCTTCTTTCCTTCCTTCCTTTCTCTCTTTCTCTCTTTTTTCTTTCTTTCTTTCTTTCTTTCTTTCTTGATTTATTTTTTTATTTAATGTATGTGAGTATACCATTAGCTCTCTTCAGATACACCAGAAGAGGGGGCATAGGATCCCATTACAGATGGTTGTGAGCCACCATGTGGTTGCTGGGAGTTGAACTCAAGACTGAAAGAACAGTCAGTGCTCTTAACCACTGAGCCATCTCTCCAGCCTCTGTTATCGTTTCTGAGACAGGGTTTCTATGTAGTCCTGGTTTTACTGGACCTGTGTAGACCAGGCTGGCCTTAGACTCAGAGATCCAGCTGCCTGTGCTTCTTGAGTGATTGAGATTAAAGGCATGTGTGTTACCAGGCCCAGCATTTCAAGCATTTTTAATGATGCATTATGAAATTGATAACTTCCCAATACTGAATATCCTTCTATGCTTCTTTCCCTTTCTTTTTGAGACAAAGTCATACTGTGTAGTACATGCTGAGCTCAAACTTATCCTCATTCCTCAGCCTCCCCGGTGCAGAAATTCACTCGCTATTCTCTCTCTCTCTCTCTCTCTCTCTCTCTCTATCTCTCTATCTCTCTATCTCTCTATCTCTCTATCTCTCTATCTCTCTATCTCTATCTCTCTCTCTCTTCTTTTTTGGTTTTTTGAGACGTTTCTCTGTGTAGCCCTGCTGTCCTGGAACTCTCTAGACCAGGTTGGCCTCGAACTCAGATCTGCCTGCCTCTGCCTCCCAAGTGCTGGGATTAAAGGTGTGTGTCACCACTGCTCAGTTTGAGATTATTTCTTAATAGCTAAAAACTTTCAGAAGTAAATTTGGATATATGCCTGTAATCCCAGCTCTTAGGAGGAGGCAGGAGGATTCCAAGGTCAAGGTCATCCTGGTCACATACTAAGTTTCAAAAAGAGAAAGCACTGAAATTGTTGTTTATGAACTTTTTAAAGCTCTTGATACATCTTTCAGAGTTATTTTCCAGAAAGGATCCTTTTATATTCATCATATATGAGATAAGAAGCCTGTGTATATATGTATATCTTTTCTGTCCTTAGTTGTGTAGTACTGAGCAATATTTAATATGTATGTTATATACTAAATACGTATTTTTTCCCATTTATTCTTATGTGAGTTAGCCCAGACTGGTCTTAAATTTACTGTATTTAGCAGAAGCTAGCCTTCAGCTTCTGATTCTTTTTTCCACTTTCCAAGTGTTGGGTTTTATAGGTCTGTGCTATAATGCCTGGCTAATTTCTTCATATTTTTTTTGGCAGTAAATTTTTTTTTTGTGGTTTCTTTACAAGTTCCAAGATACTTGTATCTCTGATTTTAGAGGTCATTATTACCATTCTTATCTTTGGTTTTCTTTGTATCAATTCTGTATCTTTTATGTAGTTTATGTTGTGTGTGTCACTAATGTTTTTGATTATTTTTTGTCTTAATATTATGCATTTTGACTATAGTATTAACATCTTTAAAAAAGATGTATTTTTGCCAGGCAGTGATGGTGCATGCTTTTAATAAAATAATAAGATAATATTTAAATAATTTATAAGATAAAATTTAAATATATTTATGCTTTTCTCTTTAGTTTTTGTTACTGGGTACAGTGTTTTGAATCATTAACCTTTTATGTATTTTCTACAGGCAGCACTAAAATCATGAGGGTTTGTTTATATTTCTAATTTGAATAAGGGGGTAATTTGCGTGTGAGGATAGAGCAAAATTCAGTGTGTTTCTAGCAGAGCCAGCCTCCCTCTATGTGGGGACATGAGATGATTGTCTTCTTTCTCTGCAGTGATCTTGGAGTGATGGTAGAAGCTGCTTCTCTCCCAGAGGAGGAGAAAGAGGAAGAGTTGGAAGAGGAGAAGGAAGAGGTGGGAGCAAATGCTCCTGACGCTGACACACGCTCCCTTGCTGCTGAAGGTAGCCCGTGCCCTTTCAGAATAGTAGATTCTTCTCATGCCCCTTTACTATGAACACACAGGCAGCTAAACTTCTCTTTACCATGTAATAGATTCCTTATGATACAAGTAATTTAAGATGTCTCACTTAATTTGGTAACTGAATTTTCTCTGCTAAGCAGCCTTCCAAGATCATGACCGACTACTCCAGAAAATAAACAGTTGGGAGATTTCCCTCTGTTACTTTGGGTCTGTGATTAGACAGAGTATCATGGTTGGGTGCACATAGAGCAAAGCTGCTTTATCTCACAGCAGTTGGGAAACAGGGAGAGACAGAAGGGAGATGGGGTTATCCTGACAACCTAATTTCCTTCCAGTAGTCCCTCTTCTTGTTCTTCTTCTTCTTTTTTTTAAAAGATGTGATTTTTTTTTCTCTTCCATTTTGTTTATTGGGCATGTGAGTATATTGTCACTGTCTTCAGACACACCAGAAGAGGGCATCAGATCCATTATAGATGGTTATGAGCCACCATGCGGTTGCTGAGAATTGAACTCAGGACCTCTAGAAAAGTAGTCAGTGTTCTTAACCACTGCGCCATCTCTCCAGATCCTAGGCCCTCTTAAAGGGGCCACTGATTGGTGTGGTGCTCAGCTGTGATATTAGCAGCTAGGAATCGAGACAGAATTGTCTTGCATTTGAAGCCAGCCTGGGCTACCCACCACTTCATAATGACACCACAGACAGTGGCTAAGCTTTCAGTTCATGTCCTTTGGGAAGCTAATATTAAAGACTCCAAACAGCAGTAAGCTGGGCATGGTGATACCCATGAGTGCTCTAGCTCTCAGGGAGGACTACAAGTTCAAGACTAGGCTTGGCTATAGAGTATGACCTCTCAAAACCAATACACACAAACGAGTCATTACATTACTCATTGACTAGCTTGCCGTCTACATTTTGTTTCTTTCTCCGTTTGCAGTTATATTTTAGAGTACCTTTGGGTGTGGTTTTGATGTAGCTACAGATTATTGACATAGTCTACCATATTAAGTGTTTATAAGGCTTTATATATCTAAGTTTTTGCTTTATTATATACCTCCCCCCCTTTAAAAAGTTACATTTTATTAATTCAATAATGTGTTTGTAGTCAGAACCAACTTGTGGGACTTAGTTCTCTTCTTCTATCATACAGATTTTAGGGAATCAAACTCAGGTTCTCATATCAGGCTTGACAACAAGAGCCTTTACCTTCTGGGTCTTTTAGCTGGTCCCTCCCCCATATTTCAGTATTTATTTATTTATAGCAGGGTCTTACATAGTCCAGGATGGCTTTGAATCCACTATGTAGCTAAGGATGGACCTGAATTTTTGATCTCCCTGCTTTTACCTTCCCAGTGCTGGTATTTTATGAGGATGTACCACCAATACTCTGGTTCTTTTTTTTTTTTTCTTTTTTTTTTTTTTTTTTTTTTTTTACTGTTCTTAGTATTCTTTTTATTTTTTTTAAGATTTATTTATTTATTTTATTTATGAGTACACTGTCGCTGTCTTCAGACACACCAGAATAGGGCATCCAATCTCATTACGGATGGTTGTGAGCCACCATGTGGTTGCTGGGATTTGAACTCAGGACCTCTAGAAGAGCAGTCAGTGCTCTTAACCACTGAGCCATCTCTCCAGCCCCCCCTTTTTTTTTTTTCAGATCATTTAAGTGTGTGCTACCACACCCAGTCTGATAGTTTATTTTTAAGATTTATTTATTTATTTTTATATGAGTACACTACAGCTGTCTTCAGACACACCAGAAGAGTGCATCCCATTACAGATGGTTGTGAGCCACCATGTGGTTGCTGGGAATTGAACTCAGGACCTCTGGAAGAGCAGCCAGTGCTCTTAACCACTGAGCCATCTCTCCAGCCCCCCTGTTTTTTTTTTCAGATCATTTAAGTGTGTGCTACCACACCCAGTCTGATAGTTTCATTGTTAATATTTTTTTTTTTCTTGTGGTGCTTGGGATTGAGCCACCCCATGCCCAATCTCTTAATGTGTTATGTTTTGGAAAAATTATGTGTGTCAAAGCTTTGATATGAAACATTTAATGTGATCCTTGTAGCTGACAAGATGGCTTAGCAGGTAAGAGTATTTGCCAACTACACTAAGCCTGTTGGCCTGAGTTTTGTCTCTGGAATCCACATCGTGGAAGGAGAGAACTGACTTTGCAAGGTGACCTCTGACCTCCGTACTTCGGCTGTGATTGTGTTGTACTCATAGACATATACACACAAATGCAAAAAGATCGTTTTAATCATGATCCTCTTTACATAAAACAGCCACTTGCACATTGATAATGTTGTGGGTTGGTGACTAATTTTTGGAGTTTTGTTCCTAGATTCTGCTTCATCACAGTTGGGCTTTGGAGTTCTGGAACTGTCCCAGAGCCAGGATGTTGAAGAACATACAGTGCCATATGATGTCAACCAAGAGCATCTGCAGTTGGTAACCACTAACTCGGGTTCTACCCAGCCGTCTGATGTGGATGCAGATACTGGTAGGAAATGTCTTTTCTCACATGTGGAGTCGATTATAAGTTGTTTTCTCTCCCTCTAGGATAAGTTTCTTTTTTTTTTTTCTTCTAAGATTTTTTTTTTCCTTTGTTGTTGTTTTTTGATTTTTCATGCTGGTCTGGACCTTGTTATGTAGACCAGAATGGCCTTAACTCAGAGATTCACCAGCTACCTCTTCAAGCTTAGAAATATTTTTGTTTATTTTATTTACATGACTGTTTTGATTTTATGTATTTATGAGTACAACATGTTTGCCTGGTGCCCACAGAGGTCAGAAGGGGGAATCAGATTGGAACTGTAGCACAGATGTGAGCCACTGTTGTGGATGCTGGGAATGAAACCTGGGTCCTTTGCCAGAGCAAGAAGTGCTCTTAACTGCTGAGTTATGTCTCTCTCTTTTTTTTTTTTTTTTTTTTTTTTTTTTTGTGGGGGGGGCTTTCTCAACACAATGTTTCTCAGTGTATCCCTGGCTGTCCTGGAACTCACCTTGTAGACCAGGTTGGCCTTGAACTCTGAGATATGCCTGCCTCTTCCTTTGAAGTGCTGAGATTAAAATTGTGAACCACTATTTTTGGGTTCCCAATAAGTTTTAAAGCGATCCAAAATTAATGTATCATAGGTTTGCAGAGTAAGCAGAAGTACTTGTCAAGTGATGGCTTGCAGATTGATATTTTTTCCTTAGTAGGTCACTGATTACTTTCTTTTTGGGATGATACATTTTTTTAAAGTTTTTTTTTTTTAAAGATTTATTTATTGTTTATGTGTACACTGTCTCTGTCTTCAGACACACCAGAAGAGGGCATTGGATCCCATTACAGATGGTTGTGAGCCACCATGTTGTTGCTGGGAATTGAACTCAGGAACTCTGGAAGAGCAGTCAGTTGTCTTAACCACTGAACCATCTCTCCAGCCCCCTTATTTATTATTTTTAATGATTTATTTATTTTATTTGCATTGGTGGTTTTTCTGCATGTATGTTTGTGTGAGAGTGATGGATCCCCTGGAACTGGAGATATAGATAGTTGTGAGCTGCCATGTGTCTGCTAGAAATTGTACCTGTGTCCTCTGGAAGAGCAGCCATGCTCTTAACCGCTGAGCCATCTCTCGAACCCCAGTACCTATATAATGTTAAAATTCATTTTATATATAAATGGTGTCTGTGAGGCCAAAAGAAGATGACAGATCTAAAGTCTGACTTACAGGTAGGTGGTTGTAAGCTACTCAATGTGTGTGTGCTGGGAATTGAATGCTGGTACTCTGAAAGAGCAGCAAGACTTCTTAACCTCTGAAACATTTCTCTAGGGGTGTGAGTGTGTGTCTGTGTGTGTCTGTGTGTGTGTGTCTGTCTGTCTGTATCTTTATCTATATTTCTTTCTGTATATGTGTAGATATATTTATTTAAGTAATGTTTTTATTATTCTTTGAGAATTCCATACAGATTTTTTGATTTTATTTACCCAACTCCTTCCAGGTTCTGCCCAAACCCCCGACTTTATATTGTTTTTCCCTCCCTCCCTCTTCTTAAATAAAACAAAAACCTGTGCTGTCCTCTTTGTGATAGCGCCCTGGGCCTGTGGCCTTCCCTGGAATGTACTTCATGTACTCGCTGTCATAGGACTAAAGAAAAGTGACTTGACCTCTCCCAGCAGCAATCAAATGTCTGTATCTCCTTACCTCAGGGTAGAACTTCATGCCCACCTTTCTCCTTCCATGCTAAGATTTCTGTCTGGTTTGATGTTGTGTAGTTCTTGTGTATACTTTCACAATCCCTCTGAGTTCATGTGTATGTTTGCCCTGTTGGTTTTGGAAAACATTGTTTCCGTGAAGTTATCTACCACCTTTAGCTCTTAATTTTTTTTTAACCCCGTCTTTTGTATAGTTCCCTGAACCTTTAGGACAGAGGTGTGATATAGACATTCCATTTAGTTCTGAAAATTCCAAAGCTTCTTATTCTTTGCATGTTGCCCAGTTGTTAATTGCCATCTACTACAGGAAGCAGCTTCTTTAATGAGGACTGAGTGATGTACTGGTGTGTTGGTATAATGATATGTCAGTAGGTTTCATGCTATTGCTGTGTTCATTCAGCAGAGTGACAGTAGGTTTTCCCCTGTGGCCCATGACCTGTCTAGCTTCAGATTCTTGGGTCGGTGGCAGTTTTATCTCATGAAACAGGCCTTGGATCCAAGAAAGAAGTAGTTGTTTACTCCCATACCATCTGTGGCATTATTGCACGATCGAGCATAACTTTCTAGGCTGGTTGTGTAACTCAAAGGATCATGGCTAGTGAGACTGATGACCACTTTTTCTTCTCTAGTAGCATGTGTAGCACTGTGTAGCACTATGAATACTAGCCATAGGGATGAAGCTTCTAGCTGAGTATTAGCTAGATTTCTCCATGTTCTTTGATTCAAGTATGTAGTGTCTTCAGCCATAGGGTCTTATCCTCAAAATCTGGGGGCAACTGATAGCAGTGACAGTAGACTGTCATGTTTGAGAGGTCTGTGGGGCCACATTAGCCAATAGCTCAGAAGGTAGTAAGCACTCTTGGTACTGGGAGTTTTATTTGGTAGAGTATAGTGTCTAGTTGGGATATTGTCCCTCTATAACTCTTGATATTTTAAAATTAGACTAATTTCTGTTAACACTTTTTGCCTTTTGAGAATTATTTGTGCTGCCTCTGATACTTTGAAGAGTTAATATCTGCTTTGTGTCTTTTCCCCCTTCTTATATTTTAAGCAATTAAATGTGAAGAACAGCCCACTGAGGATATTTCCATGATAGAACAACCCAGCAAAGACATCCCTGTTACAGTAGAGACCAGCAAAGGTATCCATGTGGTAGAAGAACAAAATCTGCCACTTGTAAGGTTAGTCATGTACTCTCTAAAAGTGTCTGGAATTTTACTGGGGCCTATAGGAATTTCATTTTGGCTATGGAAACAGTATTAGAAACTGCTGATTCCCCCTTTCACATTTTACAGATACTGGCATTTTGTTTTTATCCAATAGAAATACTTATTATTTATACATATGGGTTGCTTATGCAGTCTTACTGTGCGTATGCTCTCATCTTAATTAAGGCCTATTACTAAAGGTGCATTATTGCTTCTGTAACTATAATCTTTAATCTTTGGTTGACATCTGTCTGGGTAATCAGTCACTGTCTGTAGCAGATCACCTTGCTTCTCTGGGGCAGTTAAGATGTAGATGAACGTTATATTAGAAAACCTATTTCTGTTCTTGAGCACCTGCATTGCTTTGGATTGTTAAATGTCACCCTTCTGTTAACTTATGGTATAGCGAGATGCAGGTATTTTTTCAAGTGTGTCTGGATTTAGTTTGATAGGAATAGGGAAAGGACACTCTGCTTGGTCTATGTTAATTTTTGTATGCCATACTATATTGACTGGCCAGTAGCCGAGAAAAACTGAGATGTTCTCCATTTGAGGGGAGATGAACGTTAAGTATCCTTTTATTATTTCTTTCAATAGAAGTTGGGGTTGGGGTCCTCAGCAACAGTGATTGTCATGGCTTTTTATTTTTTTATTGAGGTAGTGCTTTGCCATGTGACCCAGGATAGCTTTGAACTTGAAAGAATCCTCATGCCTCAACTTTCTTAGTGGTAGGATTGTAGGTTTATGTCTCATCATGATCCATTACGGCTTTTCTTTACAAAGTCCTTATTTCAGCTCTATTATTATTGTTATTATTATTATCATTATTATTATTTAAACAGGATCTCACTTTGTAGTCTTGGCATTCTTCTGACTTAGTATGTATCCCAGGTTGACCTTGAACTCATAATCCTTCCACCTCAGCCTTTGAAACACTGAGATTATAGGTATAGGCCCCACACCTGGCTTTCCTGTTATTCTTGCTTTTTCCATTTTTCCTTGGGAATATTAGAGTAAGTAAGTCTGTAGGAAGGGGTCAAGAATGTGAGTCTTACGTGGTTGACGATATGTGTAAAGGAGTCCTGGAAAAGGTCAGCAGGCAACAGATATGTTTGTGGCACCAGTGATGAGAAAAGCCATAGCAAGTCTGTATAAAGACTTCTGTAGCAGTTCTTAATCACTTTTCAGAAGTGTTCAACAGACAGAAAACTGAAAAGAGATCAGGCTGTGGGAGTGATGGAGACAGGCTCTGAATGCCCTCGGACTTTACAGTATTATTTCATTTTTCATAGTTATTTAGCTTAGGGCTATTAGAATTTTTGAAATTGCTAGAAGCTTTTTGTTGAAAGAGGGAAACATATGAATTTAGCAATCTTCATCATTGTTGATATGAATCTCCTAGGTCTGAAGACCTGCCTTCCAGTCCTCAAGTTTCTGTTGCTGCTGTGGAAACAAAGGAACAGGTACCTGCCCGAGAGCTGCTGGAAGGGGGGCTGCAGGTTCAGACGTCAGCAGAGCCTGAGGTTTCCTCAACTCAGGAAGACTTGTTTGACCAGAGTAGTAAAACAGGTAGGAAGGTTGGTTATTTCCACAGCTCCTCTTCACACTTGTTCTACATTTTTATTTTAGTTCTGAGGCTACTGTTGAAGTTAAAAAGTACCTTTTAAAGTAACGATGTTATGGAATAGATAATGATATGGGAGAATGATATGGAAGAAAAATATACTCGTAGCCAGTAAGTGATGAGGGCTGTCAGGGAATGTTTAGTAGTCAGCATTTTGTGTAGCTTTCACCCTTTTGGAAGTTGAGGTAAAATAGGAGTGCATCTAGTAAAGCTTGGTATCATGGACAGAGTTGCCATTTCTTCTTCTGTCTTGTGTACTGTGATTTTCTTACTCATTTGGGTAACAGTTTACTTATCTATTAGATGTCATAACAGGTAAATTAAGGTCTAGAAGAAAGGACACAAAGCTTAGATGTGTAGAATGGAATTTGTTTCACACTCCTGTAGTCTTCTTCCCCTACTCTACAGTCTCAGAAAGCCAGATGCTTAGTGAACAGCAGGCAGGAGGTAGGCTGTGCCCCTTTGCATTCTGTGCTACACTTGGTGTGTAAGACATCAGTGGCCACCCACTGCAGCTACCAGGGTGTAGGTAAGGCATTTCTATATACCTAGGGCTATTATAGTTAATATTCAATCTAAGTAGATACTCTCCATTCATGGAGATCTTAATAATGTGAGTAACTCTGGCTGCTCATATATCTTATTAGTAGTTCTTAGTATTTTCTGTCTCCTTTGAGGAGGCTCAAGTTCTAATCATGAAAATTGCTGCATTCATACCATCAGGTGTCATGCGCATTGTTTTGACTTCTCCCATCTGCATCATGGCATGAGCTTTACTTCACCTTAGGTAGACCTTGGAATAAAAGGCTCGATTGCTGTTTTATTATAGAAGCATCACAAGAAAGAAGAGCAGCCGAGCAGAGGTATAAGGATTCTGGCTTTTCCTCTCTATAGTAGTTACTTTTATCATTGCTGTAACAACAACAACAATAAATCTTACAAAAACAGGTTAAAGAAGGAAGGTTTTGGGGCTGGGAGAGTCAGATGCTCAGAGGTTAAGAGCACTGACTGCTCTTGCAGAGGTTCAGTTCCCAGCATCCACATGGTGGCTAACAACCATCTGTAACCCCAGTTCCCTTGTCTCGCCTCTATAGGTTCTTACAGGCATGTAGTAACATAAACTCTTACAGGCACACACACATAATAAAATAAAAACAATAAAGACATGAGTAACTTTTTAAAAAACAAAACAGATTTTTTTGGTCCCGAAGGCTGAGTTCTAGTCTTCATATTAGGGAGGCTGTGAGAAACTGTTCAGTGCCCATGCTCAGGAAGCAGAGAGCCCTGCCACTCAGCTCCCTCTGGGATTCCCACCCATGGGGCCTGCTACCTACGTTCAGTGAGGGTGCTTCATCCTCAGCTCAGCCTTTCTGGAAATGCCCTCATACACACTAAGAGCTGTGTTTCTATGGTGACTCCAAAAGCAGCCAAGCTGACAGAATTAATCACGTTAGCTCCACTCTTTGTCAGCTTGACACCAGCACATCACTTTACATCATAATATTTCACTCCTCACCCCCTAAAATCTCATTTTCATCTCATAATGCAACTGCATTTACTTGTTTGAAAAGTTCTAAAAAAAAAAAAAGAGAGAGAAAAGTCCTCCTAGTCTGAAACAACTCCAATATTGTCTAAAATTTAAAGTATCTTCTGAGACCGTATCTCTTAACTATGAGGCTCTATAAAACTGAAAATCAGATCATATATTAAGAGAGGGATGAGGACAGAGCAAGTGTGACATCCAGCAGAACAAGTACCAAAACCTGTAGCCCATGTGATTGGCCTTGTGGTCTTGTTCTCTGGGCCCCAGCTTTGTGTCCTCTGTCCTTCCGTCCTGATGCCTTCAGCACATATGACCTGTCCAGGGTTAACTCCACTGCAGTTTTCCTTGGCAGATTTCCTATGGTTTTGGCACCTCTGAGCGTTCTGGATTCTCCATTGTGACTTAAGTTTCACCTTCCAAACTTAATGCAGTGGCCTTGAAGGGCCTTATTACAGGGAGCTAACCTCTCCACACATTGCCTGTACTCAGCAGCTTTCTGAAACTTTGGTGCCAACTTCAGTGCCCCTCTTGTTTTTACATCTTTCATGCCTACAAAAACAATGCTGTGTGGATGGTGCTCCCAGTTCTGCCAGCTCCAGATGTAGCCTTTCCCTGTCGGATCCCAGTTGCAGTGTCTTTGAGGGTGCCCTTGGAGAAGCACGTCCCTTGGCAGCCATTTTGCAGCAGGGAACTCATGTGGTGGCATTGTCAGTTTAGCCTCTTTTCCTTTCAGATGAGTGGGTGGGTTTCTTTTTTTGTTTTTGTTTTCTTTTTTTTGAGACAGGGTTTCTCTGTATAGTCCTGGCTGTCCTGGAACTCACTCTGTAGACCAGGCTGGTCTCGAACTCAGAAATCCACCTGCCTCTGCCTCCCAAGCGCTGGGATTAAAGGTGTGCGCCACCACTGCCCAGCATGAGTGGGTTCTTACCTGCTGTTGTCTCACTAAAGAACATGAAGAGGTTTCTCTTTAATGGTGCAATTAACAGTTAGAGATACATCCCCTGTACACTATATCTTTAAACACACTACACATTTTCTTTCTTTTTTTTTTTTGTTTTTTTGTTTTTCAAGACAGGGTTTCTCTGTATAGCCCGGGCTGTCCTGGAACTCACTCTGTAGACCAGGCTGGCCTCGAACTCAGAAATCTGCCTGCCTCTGCCTCCCAAGTGCTGGGATTAAAGGCATGTGCCATCACTGCCCGGCAACACATTTTCATAGCTTTCTATTCTTCTACTGTTGAGAAGAATCGGAACAGTGAGCAGGGTGCTTTCCTGATGTGCAGTTTCTTCTATCGAACAAATTAGTTCATTACTTTTTCTGACTCTCCTAGTGACAGATTGTTAACTTTGTAGCCCTGGCTGTACTAGAACTTGCTATGTAGTCCTGGCTGGCCTTGAACTTACAGAGATCCATCTGCCTCTGCCTTTCAAATGCTGGTGCTGAAGGCATGTGCCACCATATCCAGCCAGTCCATTACTTACGAATTCAGCATCAAATTCTTAGGACATAAGTAGAGTGCAGATCTTTTCTAGACTGTATCATGAGTGGTCTGTATTCAGTTATAGAATGTCTTGAGTGGTTGATAGTACAGTTCTAGACAGTGGTTCCGTTTCTAGTAGAGTCCTTTTTCACTTTAAAGCTGTGTGACCCAGGCTTCTACTGTGTGCACTTTTTTCTGCATCCTGGTCTTATAGACTCTCACCTAGCTTCTCAGTGTTTTAAAAACTTTATCCTGCATCTGCAAACAATTCTACATTTCCCATACAAACCAGTTCCAAAGGCTGTGATCCAAAAGTCGGGCTATGACTGACTGGGCCCCAATTCTTGGAACCAGCTTTCAGGATTATTTTCCTCATTTTTGAAATAGAATGTCTGATAAGCATTAGTGAAAGCACAGAGATGCCCAGAGATGTGTTGTTTTGAACCATTACCTTCTCAAAGCTTAGTCTGTGGTAGAAAGGATGAAGGAACTCTTTTAACCAATTGTCTATTAAAAAAAATATGACTGGGTGGTGGTGGCTTACACCTTTAATCCCTGCATTCGGGAGGCAGAGGCAGGTAGATCTCTGAGTTGGAGTCCAGCCTGGTCTATAGTGAGGTCCAGGACAGCCAGGGCAACACAAGAGAAACCCTGACTTAAAAAATATAAAAACAAACCAACCAACCTGAAATGGGGCATGGGGTTGCCATTGATTCAAAATTTGTGCCTTCTGATGTCCCACTGAGTTGTGCTTCCACAGAAAGGACTTCTCCCCTGAAGTGTGGCAGACTAGGTATTGCTGTTTTTGCGGCACTGAGTAGGTTCTCCCATGCAGTGATGTCAGTCTGAGAAGTAAATACAACTCTAACTTTTCTCCCCCACTAGCTTCTGATGGTTGTTCTACTCCTTCAAGGGAGGAAGCTGGGTGCTCTCCGGTTTCCACACCTGCTACCACCCTGCAGCTCCTGCAGCTGTCTGGTCAGAAGCCCCTTGTTCAGGAGAGTCTTTCCACGTAAGTAAGCCTGAGAGCCTGGAGAGCCAGGTCACCATTCAGACCAGAGCTCCTGTCAGAGCCAGAAGCTGGGATCCAGGGCTTAGGAGTTTGGGGGTGAGAATTTAGGGGAACTGTTTAAAGTCTGTATTTTCCCATTGGAGGTTTGATGGTGGTAGCTAAAGGTTTCACTAGAAAATCAGTGCCTTGCAGTTTATAAATGTGATACATGAGAACCAAGTGTTGGCCCCGCCTCTTCCTAGCGTTATATTGTCACTTAACAATATAGGACAGAATGATTCGCTAGGACAAAGGGTTTGTGTTTTGTTTTTGTGCTTGTTTTTGTTTTTAAATAAAAATGCATACTCTTCATACTATGTAAAATGAGGTAATTTTTTTATGTCTTAGAACTGTGAATGTCCTGTTTAGTCATTATATTTTATGTCTACTCATTCATTTTGCCCTTACTTTTTAAAAACTTAGTGTTTGAGAGCTGTTTGAGTCTCAGATTGCTGTTCAGGAGAAACATTAAGTATATTTGCTATTAATTATGTGTGTTGGATGTTTTTGTTAAGAAGTCAAAGCACATGTTAAACCCTTGGCTGCAGTAAAGTAACCTGTGATTCTCTCTTTATATAAAGGAATTCCTCAGATCTTGTTGCTCCTTCCCCTGATGCTTTCCGATCTACCCCTTTTATCGTTCCTAGCAGCCCCACAGAGCAAGGAGGGAGAAAAGGTGAGCCGTCGTGATCTGTCTGTTCATCTCAGCCCAGGAGAGGAGCAGTGCTCTCAGCCTTGCCAAACGCACGCTTCCTTGAGCTTCGCAACACCCGCTGAGACCCGTGTACCTAGGATAAACCGCTCAAGCTCTTTGCTTTTTAAGCACAGATCTTTTACTTTAATTTAGAAAAAAAATGCTCTGGTGAAAATTTTTTATTTTTAAAATTGAACCCAAGTAAATTAGTATGGAGAAGTATTGGATTTATTATTAATTAATTACCTAGTACATTTCAGATACATGCTAATATGTTTCTAAGTGAGAGAAAGCCAGAAGTTGTTTCTTAGGCGCTTTATTTTTGTTTTTATTAAAATAATTGAGGGTGCCTTGAAGGAGCTGATAAAAATTTTAACTTAATTTGTCTTATGAGGCCTTAGTATCCCCCTTACTCTCTGAGATGGTCTCATGTATCCTAGGCTCTCCTTTGTCCTTTGAACATTGGATCCCCAGCTTCTACCTTCCTCTACTATAAATCAATAAATCAATAAATCTCCCTCTACCATATATATATGTATCTATCTATCTATACATACATACATACATACATACATGTATATATATATATACACATACAATTGTAATACAGTTATGTTGTATAATACACAAGTATGACAGTGTGTGCCACTGTGCCTGGCTGTATGTGGTATTGGGGATCTGATTTTGGGCTTCTAGCAGAGTGGGCAAGAATTTTACCAATAAAGCTAGATTCCTACCCTATGAATTTCTAAATGTTTATGTATTTCTAAACATCTGTCTTTTCCAAATTTTTCCTGTAAATTCTGTGAGTTTCTTCTTTTTCCTCTGTTTTGTTTTGTGTTTGAGACAGAGGTCTGCCTATGTGTCCTGGGTTGCCCTTCAGATAGCGATCCTCTCCCTTCCCCTCCTGATTGCTAGTATTTCAGCTTTGTAGCACTGTACTTCTGTGCTCTTTTTATTCATATATCAATAAGGCTGGATAATTTTACAATATTATTAAATACATTGTTTATACCAGGTGATGTCATTTGTTCAGTTATTTCTCTGTTTTTTTCCCTCAGAGAATCCACACAAAAATCCTAAGTAGTACTTAAGGTTATTTGTTTGCTTGTTTGTTTTGGAGACAGGGTTTCTTTCTCTGTGTAGCTCTGGCTGTCCTGGAACTCACTCTGTAGACCAGGCTGGCCTCCGAACTCAGAGATTCACTTGCCTCTGCCTTCCAAGTGCTGGGATTAAAAGCATGAGTTTTATCCCCACATTGCATATGAGGAAATGAGGTTACAAATTTCACAACTAGTAATATAGTTAGGATCTGAACTCTGGCATTTGCCTCTGAGACATTTGCTTTAACTTGTCAGATGTTCTGTGACAGTGCTGTCTGTGCTATTGAGTTCTGGGTGTACTGAGAAGTACTAAGATGCAGGGTTAGCCTCAGACTTCTCTCTGCTTGTCTGTCTGCTAAGTTGTGGGTACCATTAGCATTGGTTCAAATAGTTGTAGAGACCAGTAGCATTCTAACTATATGTATAATTGGTGGCATCTTTAGTCAGAATGATGGGCTTTCATTCTGCAAAAACCCTACTTAGATTATTAGGCTAATTTCTTAACTTTTTCTATCTGTAATGTGAACATATAAAAAGAATTACATTAAAGATGCTTCTTCTTCTCCTTGTTTATAATCAATACTATATAAAATTTGGAAGAGTTATAAAAGAGTAATGTGAAAAAAATATTACCTTGGGTCACAGTGTAGATTTAAGTGCAGTTATTATTTGGATGTGTTTTTCAAAGCACTTTCTGTACATAGGAAAAAGTATTTTTATGTCGTATTTTTGTAAAAGTATTTTTGGCATCATTATATATTTGATGAATCTTCTTTTTTCCCATGTAACCCTGAATCATATGCACCCTTGTTTGTGAGGTCTCAGATACATCTTATTTAGATCTGTTTGTTTTGTCATCTATCTTAGATTATTAAACTAAATCAAAGTTTGTAGCACTGGGCCTTAAAATCTCTTCAGCCTGGTATGTGAGGGTGAGGCTGAGCAAGCAGCCAGGGTGGGCACTGAAGTTTGGAGTGTAGGCGGTTGGTAACATGAGTGTAAGCTGGGAAAGCTAAATGGAGTAAGTAGTTTTTGACTGGTTTGGTTGGGATCAAGTTGTAAAAATAAGGGTGAAAAGTTTGATGAATTAAATAGCTACCTAGGCTGGCTCTGAGGATGGGCTCGATTGCCTTAAGGTAGGTAGTATATCATGCAGAAACAGTGGTTTTAAGCTTTATATATATGGATATTTTGCCTGCATGTGTGTTTGTGTATTACTTGTATGCATGGTGCCCTCTTAGGCCAAGATAGGATTGATCCCTAGAACTGGAGTTGCAGATGGCTGTAAGCTGCCAGGTGGGTGCTGAGAATCAAACTTGGGTCCTTTGAAAGAGCTGTAGCCTGTACTTTTAACCTCTGAGCCATTTCCCAACCCCATGAACAGTGATAGTGTTTTCTTTGTGTGTTTCCTCTTGAGCAGTTTTTGTTATAGTCAGTCTCTTGATTCTGAGATAAGTCAGTGTTGATTGGCATTGGTGGCTCTGTATTTGTACTGGTGTCAGTCTCTGCACTTAGCAGGACTTACTGCAGGCATAATGAGTTCATACAAACTTAGAGTGATGAGCAAGTTCATTGCCTTTCAAGGTCTGGGGCAGAGTATGTTGTAGTTAAATTAGGTGGCATTAAATGCTGGGGAGATGGCTCAACAGTTGAAGTGCTTACTGTGTAAACAGGAGGACTACTGTTGGGATCCCTAGAACCATGTAAATGCTAGGAGAGCTCCTAAATCTACCTTCAGAAGGCCAAGATGGAATCCAAGGAGCAAGCTGGCTAGCAATACTAGGAAGTCATCAAGGAAGATTCTCCACATCAACCTTGGGCTTCCATAGGTATCATCCCACACGTACACACATGTAGACATTCATACACATGCACACCTACCACATACAGAAACACAGGAAAAAATGGATCTGGCTGTTCCTACAGAAAATGAGCTAGGATAATCTGGGAGTGTTTAGAGAAAATGTAATTTACATTTCTTATGGATTGGTAGGCATTCTCAGATGGAAACCCATTTTAATCTGTGTCTAAAATTAGCTGTGGGCTGCTGACATGATTGAAAATGCTTGTCTGTAAAGCGCTTTAACAACCTGAGTTTGCTCCCTGGAGCCCACAGTGACAGGAGAGAACCAACTCCTAAAAGCTGTACTCTGAGTGCCATATGTGTGCACACATGTGTACTCATACATTCCCTCCTCCCACAGGGTAGGACTGGTGGGACACAACCTACTGTCATTTCAGTTTTTTTTTGAAAATTAGGACATTGTATTTTGCAATGGAAATTTCTGTAACATAATTGCTGTTAGTAATATTGATGAGTGCTAATTTTGTAATTCATTTCCTCTGTATGGAACCAGATGAGCCCATGGATACGTCAGTGATACCTGAAGGAGGGGAGCCTTTCCAGAAGCTTCAGGATGATGAAGCAATGGAGATAGAAAAACCCCTTCTCCCATCTCAGCCGCAAGCATCAACACCAGTGTCTCGGAGCACGCCAGTTTTCACTCCTGGCTCACTTCCCATCCCGTCCCAGCCTGAGTTCTCTCATGTGAGTTTTGCAGGAAGAGTTCCCATCTCCTGCTGCTTTTCCTTCCCTTCTTGCGTGGTGGGTCAGGGATGTGTACTTAGGGATGCATAGATTCTAGGCAAGTGATTTGCCACAGAACAACACATCTAGACCAATCTTTTAAAAAGTACTCTAAGCTAGGTGGTAGTGGCAGCACTTGCCTTTAATCCCAGCACTTGGGAGGCAGAGGCAGGCGAATTTCTGAGTTCAAGGCCAGCCTGGTCTACAGAGTAAGTTCCAGGACAGCCAGGGCTACACAGAGAAACCCTGTCTTGAAAAACCAAAACAAACAAACAAACAAACAAAAAAAAACAAACTCATGTTGTAGTGACCCTCAACCATAAAATTATCTTCATTTCTATTTCATGACAGTGATTTTTCTACTGTTATGAATTTTAATGTAAATATCTGATATGCAGGATATCTGATGTGTGACCCTGCGAAAGGATCATGTGACCCCCAGAGGGGTCACAACCCATAGGTTGAGTTCCTCATGCTGGTTGGGGACATTTTCTAAGAAGAGCCTTTTTCTAACTCTCTTACTCATTTTATAGTTTGAATGCCATGGAATTATAGATGATTGGGAATACTTGCCTTTAAAGGTTTGGAAGGTATTTTGCTGTTGTCTTGGAATTTTTGTTGCTTTCATTCAGTAGCATTAAGCCATTCTGATTTTTTGGGCCCTGTGACTTACTTTTTTGTTACTGTTATCCCACAGGATTTTCTCTTTGTTCCAGTATTTGTACTCTGAACCCCCAGATGTTTCTGGATTATATCAGATTGACAGCTGAGCAAACTGTATGATTTCCAGGTTCATCCATGTTACTGCATGGAGCAAAATTTCAGACTATTGTAACTGACACTGTGTTGCGTGTATTAGACATTTACTCTTTAGTTTGTCAGTTGATGAACATTGAATTTGTTTCTCTTTTTTGTCTGTGTGAATCATGCTGCTAAGAAGGTCGATGCACAGACTAGTGTAAGGATGTTTTATTTTTCTTATGCAAAGTGTAGGTGCAGTTGTTGGGGTTTACCATCTATTTTAATCCTCTGAATTACTAACTTCTGAGCCTTTGTTTTTAATTCTTAAGGTCTTTTTTTCCCCTCTGAATATTTTTGTCTTATGTCAGTGTTTCTCCTTAATAAAAATAATTTTGGCAAGTTTTCTCTTTCCCATGAGTCACTCTTGTCAATAGGCTTTAAGATAGTGTGTTTGTTTAAGTGGCGCTAGGGGTGGAGCTGGAGCCTCAAACGTGCTGAGCAGATTCGCAGCCGCTGAGCATCTGGTCTTATTTATTGATTTTTTGAGACAGAGTCTTGCTTTGTAACTCAGGCTAGCCTTGTACTCGTCAGCCTTGGCTTGCTAGCTGCTAGGATTACAGACATGAGTCACCATATCAGTGTTGGGGAGCTAAACCGTCTGGTGAATGAAGTGTACACACCAGTCCTGTTGACTTTCTTCTTCTTTTTTTTTTTTTTTTTGAGTCATATAGTAACTGAGGATGACATGGAACCTCTGATCACACTGCCTCTGGTTGCTGAGTGGTGGAATGTGTTCTTCTATCACACAGTTTTGCTGAGTGTTTTTTTTTGAGACAAGGTCTCACTGTGTAGCTCTGGCTGCCCTAGGACTCACTGTATAGTCTGGCTGCTGCCTCCCAAGTGTGGGGATTAAAGGTGTGTGCCATTACCCTTAGCTTGTTGAGTGGTTTTATTAATTCTAGGGTTAGTCCCAGTCTGTGCATGCTAGGCATGAATTCTTGCAAATGAATTAGGTCTCCTTCATGTTTTGATGTCTTTTACATTTAGTTTGTTCGAGGTATGAGTGTTTTTACACATACAAGTGTGGTCTAATACATTGTGGAGGTCATAGGACAATTTGAATGTATTGGTTCTCTCTTTGTACCTTTTGAGTCTGCGAACCAGTTACCAAGCTTGACAAGCTAGTGCCTTTCCTTCTGTCTTAGTCACTGTTCTACTGCTGTGAAGAGACACCATGACCATGGCAGAAATGATAAGAGAAAGCATTTAACTGGGGGCTTGCTTACAGTTTCAGCAGTTTAGTCCATTATCACCATGGTGGGGAGCATGGCAGCATACTGGAACAGTAGCTGAGAGCTATGTTCTGATCTGCAGTCAGAGAGAAAGATATTGGGCTTGATGAGAACTTTTAAAACCTCAAATCCCACCCCCCAGTGACATACTTCCTTTAAGGCCATACCTCCTAATTCTTCTAATACTTTTAAATAGTGCATGTCCCTGGTGCCTAAGCCGTTGAATATAAAGTCTGTGGGGCCATTCTTACTCATATCACCATACCTACTGAGTCATCTTACTGACCCTTGCTGTTTTTTTTTTAATGTGCATTGTTATTTTTTTAAAAGCTTTATTTATTTATGTATTCACCATTGCTCTCTTCAGACACACCAGAAGAGGGCATCAGACCCCATTGCAGATGGTTGTGAGCCACCATGTGGTTACTGGGAATTGAACTCAGGACCTTTGGAAGAGCAGTCAGTGCTCTTAATCACTGAGCGATCTCTCCAGTTCTGGAGCTTATTGTTTTTTAAATGAGGGCTTTTCCTTATTTGCTGATATTTAAGAGCGAAACACCAGAACTCTGGTTCTGAGGTGATGATTAGACTTCTTGTTCTGAGATTCACTGAATATGATCTGGGGCATTTTGTCAGGTGTGCCCTAGTGTCAGAATCCTGATCATCTTGGGTTGGTCCGATTCCCCAGGAAAGTCTAATCTGCCTGCCTGCTGGGTACAGGGCTGGTTGTTATTGTACAGAAGTCCTTTAAAGGAAAAGTGTGAGGTGAAGGTCATGAGACACAGGGATGGGTTTCCCTTAGTATGTAGGTTTTCTTTAATCCCTCCCTCTGTCTTCAGGATGGTGCTCTCATAACTGTTTCTCTTGTCCTCCTGTCCAGGCTTTGTGCTTTATTTTCTCCTGGGCAGAGGAAGGGCAGGGAAAGAGGATATGGGAGTTGAACTGCTTCTTAAATAGACTTCCAGGCAGTCCTCCTCCTGTTTTTAGCAGCAACTTGACCATCACTTTTAAAATTATCTGATGTTACTGCCAAGTCCTAAGTCCTTTTGGGGGGACATGGTAGAGTGTGGTGGTGTCACCCTGGTAACTTCCTGGCTTTCTCTTATTGGCCTCACAATTACCTTTCACTTGTCTGCCAAGTGGATTGCTACTCTTCCAGAATATGTATGTGTATATGTGTGCATGTATGAATATTATATATGTATGTGTTCATGTGTGTATAACTACATATATATGTAGCTCTTTCTCTTTTTTGAGAATTATGTATGCTAGGAAAAAATGCTTTACCATTGCTTAGCAGGATTTCAGAAATCAAGTAGATGTTGACTCTACCATTCTACTTTGTGAGTTCTCTCAATTTTTTATTATGTATCAAATCCTACATTTTTTTTCAAGATTTATTTCTTTTATTTATATGAGTATACTGTAGCTGTCTTCAGATACAACAGAAGAGGGCATCAGATCCCATTACAGATGGTTGTGAGCCACTATGTGGTTGCTGGGAATTGAACTCGGGACCTCTGGAAGAGCAGTCAGTGCTCTTAACCGCTGAACCATCTTTCCAGCTCCCCAACATGTTATTTTTAAAGGTGGAAAGAGAGAGAGCTGGGGTTGTTCTAACCACCACATGTGCTGTGGTACAGACAGATGCTTAGATGCATGTACTATCCACACACACATAAACACTTATAATAGATGAAAAATAAATAATACAACATCAATTGAAAGCAAAGCATGGAGGCACATGCTTGTAATTGTAGCACTGGATGGTGCAGATGGGAAGAGCAGGTGTTCAAAGTCATCCTGGGCGACATGAGATCCTATTTTAACACTCACCCTACTCCCACCCCCCAAAAAAATAAAAAGTAAAAAGAAAGAAACAGCAATTGTGGCAGCAGGATGACTTGGGTGACAGTGGTATTTGCCTCCAAAGCCTGATAACCTGAGTTTGATCACCAGGAAAACAATCCAGAGAGAATTGACGCATATGTTTATTATTATTATTATTATTATTATTATTATTATTATTATTATTATTTTTGAGACAGGTTCTTACTGTGTATCCTTGGCTATCCTGGATCTCATTATGTAGGCTAGGCTGGCCTTGAACTCATAGAGATCTGTTTGTCTTTTCCTTCCAAGTGCTGAGATTAAATGTGTATGCCTCAGCATAGTGTGCATGGGTGTGTGTATTAATACACTGTAGCCCTCAATGACTTGAGCTCACTATGTAGTTCAGGCTGGCCTGGAATTTACACCAGGCTGCCTGCCTTCGCCTTCCAAGCTCTGGGATTACTGGAATGTTTCAAGGTGCCCAGGGCTTTGTATAAGTTTTCATTTTTTTTGTTGTTGCTGCTTTATTTTTTTGAGACAGGGTTTCTCTGTGTATTCTTGGATGGCCTGGAATTTTCTATATAGACTTCAAAACTCACAGAGATTCTCCTGCCTCTGCCTCAGGAGTGCTGGGGCAGCTTTGTGTTTGCTAGGGAAGCACTCTACCAACTGAGCAAGCCTCAGCAGCCTATACTGAGAATTTTGGGGTCATGTGTTTAATCACAGGAGGGGCTGCCTACTGTGGCTGTATGTTTTGCTTTTTCCCAGCAGTGTGTGAGGATTACAGTTGTTCTGTGTTGGTGCTTAGTTTTGTGAGTGTTTAGAACCTTAGCCATTTTATGGTTCCTTCTTTCTTACTTTTAGACAGATTGTGTGTGTGTGTGTGTGTGTGTGTGTGTGAGAGAGAGAGAGAGAGAGAGAGAGAGAGAGAATGAGAGAATGAGAGAATGAGAGAATGTGAGAATGAGAGAATGAGAGAATGAGAATATCCCTGGCTGTCCTGGAACACACTATATAGATCAGGCTGTCTTCAAACTCTCCAAGATCCTGCCTGCCTTTGCCTCCTGGGCAGTGGGACTAAAGGTGTGCGTTACCACTGCCTGGCTTATTGTGGTTTTAATTACATTTCTCTGCTGACAAATGATCTTCTTTTTTTTTTTTTTTAAAGATTTATTTATTTATTTTATTTATGAGTACACTTTATTTTATTTATGAGTACACTGTCGCTGGCTGTCTTCTGGCTGTCTTCGGACACACCAGAAGACAGCCAGAGAAGAGGGCATCCAATCTCATTACGGATGGTTGTGAGCCACCATGTGGTTGCTGGGATTTGAACTCAGGACCTCTGGAAGAGCAGTCAATGCTCTTAACCACTAAGCCATCTCTCCAGCCCCCGACAAATGATCTTCTAACTTCACATTTTTAAAAATTTATTTTTACTTTATGTGCATTGGCATTATACACATGTATGTCTGGCATTTTGGCTGCAGGTATGTCATGTGAGGTTGTTGGATCCCTTGAAATTGGAGTTAGAGACAATTGTGAGCTGTCATGTGGGTGCTGGCAAATGAACCTAGGTCTTCAGGAAGAGCAGCCAGTGTTCTTAACCACTCTCCAGCCATCTCTTCAGCCCCATCTCTGCATTTTAACATCTGCTTCATGAGTGTTTAGAGTGGTTCAGAGAAGCAGAATGAGTATGGAGTCATACCTTGTGAGATTGGAGATGGTTCTTTAAGTGTATGTCAGGGGTCTATTATATAGTATAGACATAATTTTAATAGTTTGATGGTGAAGTTAAATTTGGATCTTCCTGTTCTTAATAAGTTAGTACTTTAGGTTTTTGTTTTGGATTATGCTTATTCTTTGCTAGGGATTTTATAGGAAAAACACTGAACAGAGTGACTTGTGTAGTTGAAGGCATGTTTGTAAGGTTTGGAGTTCTAGAATTACAGTCCTAGCTAGAGTTCTTTAATTTTTGATGAATTGATTTAGAAATGTAGATGAATCCAAGGGTTAGATATAAGAGACATGATATGGACAGCTGATAGCTTGACTCTTTTTATTCTTCCTTAGGACATTTTCATTCCATCACCAAGTTTGGAAGAACCGTCAAATGATGGGAAGAAAGGTGGAGGTTTGCATAGCTCATCTCTCACTGTTGAGTGTTCGAAGACTTCAGAGAGCGAACCAAAGAATTTCACTGATGACCTTGGGCTCTCCATGACAGGGGAGTCTTGCAAACTGATGCTTTCTACAAGTGAGTATAGTCAGTCCTCAAAGATGGAGAGCTTGGGTTCTCCCAGGACTGAGGAAGAAGGAGAGAATACACAGATTGATGATACTGAACCCTCATCTCCAGTTACCAATTCTAAACTTCCTGCTGAAAGTGAAAATGTCTTGGTGAATCCAGAACAGGACAACCAGGTAGAAATGAGTCAGAATGTAGATAAAACAAAAGAGGATGAAACAGAGGACAGAGGTGATGTTGGTGTTTTAGCTGCTGGCTGTAAAGGCAGAGAAGACGTGGTTGCTGAAGATGTTTGCATCGACCTTACTTGCGATTCTGGGAGTCAGGCAGTTCCTTCTCCAGCTACCCGCTCTGAGGCACTCTCCAGTGTCTTAGATCAGGAGGAGGCTATGGAAATGAAAGAACACCATCCAGAGGAAGGGTTTTCGGGATCTGAAGTAGAAGAAGTCCCTGAGACTCCCAGTGGAAGTCACAGAGAGGAGCCCAAAGAAGAACCGATGGAAAGTATCCCACTGCACCTTTCTCTGACTGAAACTCAGTCTGAGGCGTTGTGTCTTCAGAAGGAAGCCCCCAAAGAGGTATGCCCAGAAGCTATGGAAGTTGAAACCAGTGTGATTAGTATTGACTCTCCCCAGAAGCTGCCAGGACTTGACCAGGAATTAGAACATAAGGATCCAGAAACTTGGGAAGAAGCTACTTCTGAGGACTCCAGTGTTGTTATCGTTGATGTGAAGGAACCCTCTCCTAGAGTTGACATTTCCTGTGAACCTTTGGAGGGAGTGGAGAAGTGCTCAGACTCCCAGTCCTGGGAGGGTGCTACTCCAGAGGAAGAACCATGTGCTGAGAATAGATTAAATACTCCAGAGGAAAAGAGTGTGGAGTGTGATGGAGATACAAAAGCAGAGCCCACAGGAAAGGACTCTGTAGCAGAAGACTCTTCACAACTTCCTCTGCCTTCAGTGAGAGATGAACCTGTCAGGCCCGACCAGGAGATGCAGCAGACCCAAGTTCAAGAGAAAGAGAGCCCAGTGACTGTGGATGAAAAAGTGGCTGATGACAAGCAGCTGGGATCAGAGGGCGCGTGCCAGCAGCTTGAGAAGGCCCCTGCCCGTGCCTCACAAAGTTTCTGTGAAAGTTCTAGTGGTGAGTGGTAACAGATTTCATTTGGAGCTATCCAGCTAGGTTCCTATCTGGAAAGGGAGGAGGAGAGCCCACATACTGTGTCAGGACTCAGTGTGAGCTTGAAGGAACAGTATTTGGGAAATTTTGAGATTAGGGGTTCTAGTTTTCTTCCATAGTTGTAATTATTTGTATGACCAGAGCTCATTTGAGGTTATCAGCACCCGTAGCTCAAGAGTAGTCGATAGGGCTGGAGAGATGGCTCAGTGGTTAAGAGCACTGACTGCTCTTCCAGAGGTCCTGAGTTCAAATCCCAGCAACCACATGGTGGCTCACAACCATCTGTAATGAGATTGGATGCCCTCTTCTGGTGTGTCCGAAGACAGCTACAGTGTACTCATAAATAAAATAAATAAATAAATCTTAAAAAAAAAAAAAAAGAGTAGTCGATACATGAAATTAGGAATTGTACAAGTTATTTTCTTCTGCTTACTTACATCCTTCCCCTGAGGCCCCCACCCCACTCATGACAACTAGGCAGGTGTCACCAGTGAGTGGTTCCCCCTCATCTGTCTGTCTCCATCCATCCATCCATCCATCCATCGATCCATCCATCTACCTCCCCCCCAGCCCCCGTCTTTTTTGGTTCAAGGTTTCATTTTTATGATCCAGACTGGCCTCACATTCTCTTTTTTTCCTGATATTTAATAACTTTATTTTAAAACAATGTTTTAAATTTATTTTCTGAAAATTCTATACATTTGAACAGTATATTTTGATTATATTCATTTACCATTACCTCCTTCCAGTTGCCTCCTGGTGCTTCTGATCCCATCACCCTCCCAATTCCATGTTCTCCTTCACTGGCTCGTTATTAAAACTCAGCCCCTTGAGTCTTACCTGGGCTGTTCATTGTGCACGGCTGTTGGGCCGTCCCCTGGGGTATGGTAACCTCCTAGTAGCTATAGCTGCAAAGGAGATCTCTCCCTAAGCATCATCAACTACTAATAGCCTCTTCCCCGTTTGTGCTAGAGTTTTGACTGGCTTGATCTGTGCGGGTCCCGTGCAGGCAGTCCTAGGTGCTGTGTGTTGCTGTGTGCAGCAACGATGCAAGTCAGCGTTTCACAGCTCCGCCCTCACCCACCAACTCTCACTCTTCCTGCCTGTTCTTTTGCAGTGTCCTCTAAGCCGTCATGGAGATAGATGATTCATCCTCAGCTGAGCCCTCATGGCCACTTCTCCTTGTAACTTGGTAGATAGGAGTCTCTGTAGTAACTGCTGTCCACTGCAAAAAGACGCTTTTTGACCAAAATTGAGAGCAACATAAGTCTATATGTATAAACATAACTATTTAGAAGACATGTTGACAGTTTGACAATCCAACATAACAGCAAGAGGTTCCCAGCTGTGGCCTTTGATCTCCTGGGCTTTTGACAAGTTTGAAGAACCATGTTTTCTTATCTCTGTATCTCAGGTCCTGAGATTATAGGTATATGTCACTATGCCTGGCAGGAATACCTTTTAGCTATTTTTTATAGTTGTGTGTAAGCAAAAGAATACTCTAAAATATTGAGATATTAGTTATAATAATAGTATTTTTTATGAATTAACAGATTATTCTGTTAGTTGCCAGAATGAACTATTTTTTTCTCATAGACTCTGTCTTATTAAAATATATTTTGCTAATATTCATCTGGATTATTAAAAATGCTGGAAAATGACTTTATTTCCTTCCCCCTCCCCTCTCTGTTTACCTCTCTGCCCTGTCCTTCCTCTCCCCAACTCCTCTGCTCCCTTTCATGTCCCTCCTGCCCATCCTCTTCCTCTCCCTCCTCACCTCTTCCTCTCCCTCTTTTCTTTCCACTTCTTTCCTTTGGTTTCTCCTTCCTTCTTCCTTTCTCTCATCTTCTTTGCTCTTCTTTTTCCCCTCTCTTTCCATTTTGTTGAGAAGTACAGTAGTTGCTCCATGCAGCAGGGAGGCATCCTAAAAACGGGTTCCTTCCTTTTCTTCTTTAAAAGTGATTCTTTTTTAGGTTTTGGGGATGTAGTTTGATGGTGGAATCTTCATTTCAGTATTTGAAAAAAGTTATTTTATGTGATTTCAAGTCAGCCTGGTTTATAGGGAATTCCAAGACAGCCAAGGCTGCACAGAGAGAGAAACTCTGTCTTGAAAAGCAACAATAATAACAAAAACAAAGCAAAAAAGAGGAATTAAAAATGGGGTCTCGAGAGATGGTTCAGTGGTTGAGAGTCCTTACTGTTCTTCCAGAGGGTCAGAGTTTGGTTGCCAGCACCTACTTTGAATCACTCAAAATCCCTTATAACTCCACCTTCAGGGGATCTGATACCCTCTTCTGACCCCCACAGGCAACAGACCCTGCACATGGTGCACAGACATGAGGCACAGTACACAGAGAAATAAAAATAAATAAAATAAAAGATTTGGGTGTTTTAGTTAAGGATAGGCCTGATTAGTTTATGCTGTAGACTCTCTATGAAAAAGCCTCTGAGACTAAGACTGCCCAGTGTCCAGCTCAAAAGAAACAATAGGCCTGCCAGCCTCAGGGCGCCTGGAGTCTACACCTACGCCTGGGTACAAGAGTTAAAAATAAATACTTGTTAAAAAAAAGAAAAGTTTTATTTAGAAATTAGGACATGAAGAATAATAGTTTTTGAGTCAGAGAATTAGTCTAAAAGAAGAATGTTATAAAAGAAAAACTATTACGTATTTAAAATATAGTTTATGGGTTGGGGGGTGTAGCTCATTTGTAGGGAGCTTGCTTTGATTTCCTAAGGCCTAGGTCTGAAGCTGTCTTAGGGTTTCCATTGCTGTGAACTGACACCATGACCAAGGCAACTTTTATAATGAAAAACATTTAATTGGGTCCGGCTTATAGTCTAAGAGGTTCAGTCTGTTATCGTCATGGCAGGAAGCATAGCAGCATGCAAGTAGAAATGATGCTGGAGGAGTTGAGAGTTCTACATTTTGATCCCCAGGCAGTCAGAAGAGACTGTTCTGCAGGCAGCCAGGAAGAGACTGGCATTCTACACTGAGCAGAGCTTAAGCCTGGGAGACTTCAAAGCCCACCCCCACAGTGACATACCCCCACCAACAAGGCCATACCTCCTAGTAGTTCCACTCTCTCTGGCCCAAGAATTCAAATACCTGAGTCTGGGGGGACCAAACCAATTCAAACCACCACAGATCCCTTCACTGCAAAAACAAACTAGCACAAAGTACAGTCGTTTAGTTCCTAAAACTTAGGGGGATTAAACTTAGAGAAGTGTGGAGAGGTGATGATTGTTCAGTTTAAAAAGAATGAGGGCTAGGAATGTAGTTCATTTGGTAGAGCCTACCCAGCAAGATGAAGCCCTGGGTTCTGTTTCCAGCACTGAATAAATTTGGTGTGGTGGCTACACCTGGAATCCCAGCATCTAGGAGGTAGGCACAGGAAGATCAGAAAGCCAAGGTCGTTCTTGGCTACAGAGGTAGTTTGAGTTCAGCCTGGGCTACATGAGACTCTGTCTCAAAAATTAAATAACGGGCAGGTGAGATGGGTAAAGGTGCCTACATCCAAGTCTGACAATCTGAATTCCATTCCAAGGACCCACTGGTAATAGGAAAGAACCGAGTTCCCAGAAATTATTCTCTGCCTTCCACATGTGTGCCATGACACACTCAAGGCAACCCCTTTCCCCCAGTTATGCACACAATAAATAAATGAAATGTATTATAAGATTTTAATAAAGCAAGCAAGCGAGTGAGCCATCCTGGACTATGTGAGACCTTGTCTCAAAAATAAACACGCAAACAGAATAAGGGGTATCAAGGGGGTGATTTGGGGCTGCATGTGGGGTGGGGCTTAGAGTTGGAGTACTTGACAAGTATATTTAAGACACGAATGTTTGATATCTAGCACTGCAAAACATGCAGTGAAAACAAATAATGGAGTCTCAGCTTTTTGTTTTCTTTTTGAGACTGGGTCTCTCTATGTAGTTCTGGCTCTCCTGGAATTCACTATGTAGACTAGGCAGGCCATAAACTCAGTTCATTAGGTTTCTTACCAAAATTAGGACACTTATATTTTTCATTTAAATATATTTTCTTTTTCTTTTTTTTTTTTCTGTTTCCTCTCCTCTATGTATATGTCTGTCTGTCTTTCTCTCTGTCTCTCTCTCTCTCTGCCTCTCTCTCTCTGTCTCTGTCTCTGCCTCTCTCTCTCTCTCTCTCTCTCTCTCGCTCTCTTGCTCTCTCGCTCTCTCGCTTTCTCTCTTTTTTGCTCTCGCTTTTTGGCTCTGTGTGTGTGTGTGCTCTTGCATGTGTGTGTATGAATGACAGGTTATCTTTATAGCCCCCAAAGCAGTTCTGCTCTTGGCTTCAGTTATAGATCTGTCTACCTGGTGTGTAGACTTTTTGTTTTTAAAAAACAAAAACAGAGTCTCTTCTAGCCCTACCTGGCCTTGAACTTTATGTAGCTGAGGTGGACACTGGACTTTTGGTCCCCTTGTCCCTACTTCCCAATGTTGATCTCTGTGTGCATTGAACAGGTCATGTGCCAGGCAAGCACTTGACCTCTGGCCTACAGCCCAGCTCTAACAGTTGAAGTATGAAAAACACTCGAGTTGTTCAAGAGAGGGAAAGGAGCTAGTCTAAATACCTCCACTGATGGTCTCTGATCACTGTTAACAGTTTGGCAGCTTCTTCACACACCTGCCTGTGGAGGATGTCTAACAAGGCGGTACTCGAAAGCTTAGTTAGCAACAGGTTCCTGCAGCTGATGATGTGAAAAGGCTTAACTTCATTCTTCTTATTTTTGTTTTTTTTTTTTTCTTTTAGAGTCAGAGTTTTATTATTTAGTTAGGTCTGGTTGGCCCATTATTTAACTCTGTAGCCCAGGCTAGCCTTGAACTTAGGACAGTCTTCATGCCTAAGCTTCCTGAGTGCTGGGATAACAGCATGGCCCACTTTACTCTGCCTTATCTTTTTGTTAGATGGCTTTTCATCAGTTGTAAGATGTGAACAGTTCTTTTAAGTACACATGAAGACCATTGCTGCTTTACAGCATAGCACTTTAGGAGAGGTCTTCCTTGTATTGATTTTTTTAAGACAGGGCTTTTGAATTTCAGACTTGTTCTACCTCACTAGCTTTCTTCTATTTTTGGTAGTGCTTTTGTCTTCTTTGATAAGCTATCTCTGTTTCTGTCATTTATGAAATTCTCAAGAAAAAAAATTAAAACTTTAATACTAATTGAATATTTTTTAGGGTGAGTGTGGCGGCTCCTAGCTATAGCTAACACTTGGAAGGCAGAGACAGGAGGATCAATGCATGTTGAAGGTTATCCTGATTTACATACTGACTTCCAGGCCAGGGTGGGCTGCCTGTGAGACCCTGCCTCAACCCCCTCCTAACCATAAAGAGTTTTAAGTAATGAGTCCTGTGAGTTTCTTAGTAATAAGACCAAATTTTTTACACAGGTGTTTTGATAACTGGTGTTGTTGTCTTTTGCCTCTTTATTGTATCTTTATTGATAGCCTGATATGCAATAGGGTAGCCTATGATAATCTGGTAAAGAAGAAAAGATTTGAAAATTTAAATAATGGCCTAGATATGAGAGAACTAAAATGTGGAAAATTCTGGTTAACTTAAATGTGTTTTACAGAATTTGGTGATAATCTAACTGTATTAGTGGTGATTCAGATGGCTAGTAAGCACAGAGAAATGGAAAAGCATTTGGAGGACATTGAACATGAATAATTAAGAAAGACACTGGAAACAGTTAACTGCATGCTTACTGAAGAGTTAGGATTTAATTTTTTTTTGATTTATTTTATGTGTATGAGTGTTTTGCCTACATGTACATATGTGTACCATGTGCATGCCTGGTACTCACTGAAGTCAAAGAAGTTATCAGATCCCTTAGAGCTGGGGTTATGGATAGTTATGAGCCACCATGTTGGTTCTTGGAACAAAATCTGAGTCCTCTGCAAGGTCCTCTTAACTGCTGAGTCATGCCTCTAGCCCAAAGAGCTTGGAGTTTTCTTGTATTGAAGAACTCACAGGATTCTGACTAGAAGCCAGCATTTTCAAATCCGTGGGGTCTAGCAGCTTCTCTCTGGTTACGCTGTCCTAAGAATTGGGGGCTGGTGAGAGAAGCTGAGGAGATGGTTGGTAGGCTGTATAGTCCAAGGTCAGGGACATTGAAGACTGGATAGAGGCTGCCGCAGTGCTGTCCCTGGGGGCCTGGAAGATGCTTCAACTCTCTGTTAAGTTATATTGATGAAATCAGATAGTCTTAAACTATTTGTAATACATTTTACCTAGTATTTTGCAAAGGAATCTTGTACCAAGAAGCAACAATTTCCATTAATAAGATGTTTACATGTTACACATGCATGTTCATTTGTCTGCCTGCTTCTGCCCTTTATGTGCTGGGAGTGAATGTGTGAGCTGCCACACCTGGCTGAAACATACTTTTATGTCTTCAAAAATTTTTAGCGTTTGTAATCATTTAATAGCACCCAGCTAGATATGCACACTGAGGATGCTCCTTAGGGATTTGCCAGGGGACAGAGACTGAGCTTTGAGTGTTGCCACTCTGCTTACCATCTATAATGCGTGCTATTCAGTACAGCTGAAGGAAAGCCTCAGATTTGGCTGTTAGCATCAAAGACCAATTTGAAGTCCTTTTTGGCCTATGTGATTTTGTCACCTTTCAGAGAGGACCATATGTCAGACTTTGCTTTGGAAATCTTGGAGAATGCAATGCTAGGTAGCACTTACCAAATGATGCCTTTCTAGACTCAACAGTGTCCAGATCCATGTTACTAAGTGTGTCTAGATACAGTATTTGGGAAGCAGTCCTCTTCTTTTGTGCCTCTGGTGGTGTTCTTTTTATCAGTGCTGCTATTAATGGCTGGGGAGCGGCTGTCTTTCTAGCAGGAGGGATCTGGTTTGGATGGCTGTGTTGCCGATAGGACTAAGAAATTGGGAAAAGAGCACCTGAGGTTTTTTTTTTTTTTTTGTAGTTTCTCATTTTTGTGTAATGTGTGATTTGTGTTTTTTCAATTGTGTTTTCATTTTTGTTTGTTTATTTCAGAAACCCCATTTCATTTCACTTTGCCTAAAGAAGGTGATATTATCCCACCATTGACTGGCGCAACCCCACCTCTTATTGGGCACCTAAAATTGGAGCCCAAGAGACATAGTACTCCTATTGGTGAGTGATTAAAAACAAAGATATTTAAGGCATTAAAATAAAAGCTACTTAAAGACTTTCTAAGATGCCATTCTTTATGCAAGTGGTACTTTTCTATCTGAGGAGTTGGCCTGACTGAGAGGGCTGATGTTTGGTTTGGAGGGGCAGGGTCTGACTGACCTCACTGCCAAGAGATGAGAGGAGGTGAGATGATGGAGAGAGAAGGTGGAGGGAAGGAGGGAAGAGCGTCAAGTCTGTCTTATCACTGCCGAACTGGAACTAAGCTGGGATATGGAACTGTTTGGCAAGAAAGAGACAAGGAGTGTGGAGAAGTGTTGTCCTCAGTGTGCTTGCCTGATCAAGCTGCTGCTGCACAGGGCAAGAAAACTTAGGTCCTCCTCTGTCCTTGGAGCAGCGGGTGGATGTCTATATTAACCTATTTGTTTTCTCTAGTCAGTGCTGGGAGGTAACAGTCATGCCGCCTGGAGTCTCCTGTTTCCTATGCCTGATGCTGGCAGATGTGGGTTGGCTGAGGGCTCATGCAGCATCCTTTGTCCAGATGCAGAAGTGGAACTGAATCCTCTTAAGACCAGGTGTCAATACTAGTTGGTAGTTGTTGATACTTAAACACAGGATCTATCCTAGGGACCCTCTTTAATCTTGCAGAGTGGTGGAGTCAAACAGGCAAATTGATCATTTCAAATTGCTGTTTTCCATGTTTGTATTTTAGTGTTCTTTCTTTCTTCCTCCCTGCCTCCTTCCTTTCAGGGATTAGCAACTATCCAGAAAGCACCATAGCAACCAGTGACGTCATGTCTGAAAGCATGGTGGAGATGAATGATCCTCTGCTTGGAAATGGAAAGCGGGATTCTGAGTCTGCCCCGGAGATGGAAGGAAAGCTGTCTCTGAAAGTGAGACTGCTTAGTCCCGAGGCAGAGGCAGAGGCCAGTGAAGAGTCTCTGCAGTTCAGCCTGGAAAGTAAGTTTCATGTTTTTATTTGGTAACTAGTTACTCCAGGTTGTCCACATCAGGGGACTCACAAATGCCTGTGGATAGGACACCTCTGTGGCACTTGCACGCATGAGCACACATCCCACCCCCCCAAGCCCCATACACATAATTTAAATAAAGAATCTAGAGTAGAAAACGTAGGATTGTGGATTTACACTGTAAACTTATGTGGACACTTTTTCAAATGAATACAAGATGTTTGGTTACAATAAAAAGAGGATGTCAGATGCCCTGGGACTGGTGTTACAGATGACTGTGAGTTGTCGTGTGGGTGCTGGAATCAAATCTGGGTCCTAGGAAGGAATAGGTGCTCTTAACTGCTGAAACTCTCCAGATACCTCCACCCCAAGCCCCCAAATAATTCTTATAAAAGAGCTTGTAAAAAACCAGAGAGGGAGAACTCAGAAAGCAGGAGTAAGCCTGTGAGGGGGAAAGTTACAAGAAAATGACAGTGTCAGATTGTAGGAGCTGAGGTCCAGTAGGATAGGTCAGACAGGGTTTGTTTGAGGAATAGGAGCCGTGCAAACATAGGTCTTAGCGTGGACCAGAGAGAAGACTACACCATTTATCTCATCCTTGTGCTGTTTCCTCAAGGCTGCCAGTTGTCTGTAGTCTTCTCTCTGGTTCAAGCTAAAAGCCTCATGTTAGTAAACTGTCACTGAGAAGCTGGTTCTGGAAGTGGAGTTACTAGAGCAAGAACAAGCTTGTTTATCTCATTGTCTTCTAAAACTACCTGTCCTACTTGGGAGGCAGACGGATCTTTGAGTTTGAGGCAAGCCTGGTCTACAGAGTAAGTTTCAGGACAGCCAGGGTTACATAGAAAGACCCTGTCTCAAAAAAACAAGCAAAACCCTGAATACCCTGTTCTGGGACAGGATAGCATCCTAAGTATATAAAAGGGAGAGAATATCAGGCAGCTAAGGGTGTTATAGACATTGCAGCCTTAGAAATAGCTAGAAGGCAAGGTCACCATTGCTCATCCCATAGTATGTGATTGCCTGCAGTGGGAATGAGAAGAAGCAAGCTTGTCAAGGAGAGAGGCTGTGCTCTCTCAGGGGTCTCAGTGGAGACCCTAGTTAGCTGTGTCTGTGGGACTGTCCCCATTTATTTCTGCTGGATGTTTTCAGCACCTGATCGGATGATGTTTTTCTATCTGCTGCTATTCAGGGTTTTTTCTTTTTCTTGCTGTATACTTAGTAAACTCACTCATTTGAAACTGAAGACATGACTGTTACAGATCATTCCCCAGACCAGATGGAACATAGGGCTTATTGATTTGAACCTAGAATGTTAATGAGAATTAAAGTATTACATGATTTCACCCTTACTGTTGTTTTGGGGATGAAATAAGAGCTTACCCAGAGAGAGTCTGAGAAAGGGGCTGGTGGTGGCCTACCTCAAGTTCTCAGCACAAAGGAGACTTACTTCCCCCAGAGAGACAATGGACAAGCAATAAGAGACAAAGGATGCAGGGGAAGAGAAGAGGAAGGAATGTTTGTCTCCATGGGGACAAAAGGACTGCCTCTGGATAGAGAGGAGACAGACTGACCCATAGGGTAATGGTGGTCTATAAAAGTAAAAGGGGAAGCCCCATGTGAGGATAAGGTGTTTAATTTTAACTGGGCATATTAATTAGGTTAGTCAAAGGGGGCTTTTGGTTTCTGGACTTCAATACTTTAATAGCTGGACCATGGTAGTCAGCCTCAAGAGGAGGAAGTAGCCAAATAAGGGAGTAGACCATGGTGGCTAGCTTTAGGAATGGAATCTAATGGGTTTTTAGCATGGAAGGGAGGATAGGGGAGAAGGGCAAGGCCTGTCAGAGCCGTGTTTGCCATGCTTGGACTGGCTAGGGTGCCTTCAATATGCTGATAGTGGTGTTTGGGAGTCTTGAACAGGAGGACCTCAGATTCAGGGCCATGCTGAGCTGAGAAAAGGTTGTAAGAGGGAGAGAGAGGTGAGAGAACAGGTGGGAACATGTTAGCACTGAACTCAATTTGACCTTTAGATGGGAATTGTTCCTGAGAGACCAAGAAGGAGCTAAACTAAGGACAATCAGTCACACTGATACGTAGTACTCCACCTCTTTTTGTTTGTTGGTTTGTTTGTTTTTCCTACTAGGAAGGTAGTATCTGGGGCTCACAGATTGATGGACTTCCTTTCACCCTCTGGGCAGTTTACCCCTACTATCATTGACCTCAGTATTTTACCCCTAGGCTGACTAAGCCCAGGTCCAGCCATCCATTTTCTGAACAGGAAGGGCTCTAACTACTGAACTCTGCTGCTTCCTCGATGGGCAGTTGAGCTTATGTTGAGTCATGAGTGTTCTGCGAATGTCTGAAAACACTTAAGAGCTGTGTTTTTCTGAGACTGGAATAAATTGCAAATGAACACAATTTAATCCCTTGATGATTAGTGACACGGTTATGAAAATACTTTGTTCCTCTTAGCCTTGCACTTACATTATGGTTGCTGGCTCTTCTGTGGGAAGTGTCCTTTCAAATATCTGTCCTTAAAACATTTTTTAAAGTGAATTTCTGTGTATGAGTTTCACATGTATGTATGTGTGTGTAGTGTGTGTGCCTAGAGCCTGTGAAGTTCAGAAGAATCCTTTGGGGCTAGAGTTACAGATGGTTATGAGCCACCATGTGAGTTCTGGGAACTGACTGAACCCAGGTTGTCCCCAAGAGCAACAAGTGTGGGTAAAGCCCTTTGGCAAGGCCTTGGGTGGCTTCTACACGCGAGTGTTTCTAAAATGAACCACTTAGTTTATGCATTAACTTAACATATTTTCCTATACATTTATTTATTTTGAGATAGAGTTTCATTATATAGCTCAGGCTGTCTTAGAATTATTGTGTAGCCCAGGTTGGCCTTGAACTTAAGCTTCCCAAAATGTTGACATTCCAGGGGTGTGTTCTGCTTCACCTGGCTTGTCACATAGTTTGTTCAGGTTTTTTTCTTTCTTTGTTTCATTTTTAAATAAAGTATTAGCTCAGCATCATGGTGCACACCTTTAATCCCAGCACTTGGGAAGTGGAGGCAGATGGGTTTCCCTGACTTTGAGACCAGCCTGGCCTAATAGACCCTGTCTCAAAAATTTTTTTTTAGTTTATAAATCTTTTTAAAAAGGTTGATTTATGTACTTTGTGTATATGAGTATTTTGTCTGCATGTTCATCTGTACATTAGAAGAGAGCGTCAGATCCCATGGGGCTACAGTTACAGATGATGTGGGTGCTGGGAATTGAACCCGGGACTTCTAGAAGAGCAGACAGTGCTATCAACTGCTGAGCTATCTCTCTCTCCTCCCCCAACCTCACCTTTTTTTTTTTTTTTTTTTTAGGTTTTCTTTTGTATTTTCTCGTGCAAATTTTAAATTTCTTATTTGGGAAGATGACTCATGATTCAGATGGTTCAGTTTTCACTTACAGATACTATAGATTGCAGTTCTGGTGAAGTACATACATTTTCTGTAGAAAATCTGAGACAAAATAAAATGGTAGCTACGAGAAGAGCTCGTGCTGCTAATGCATGTCTTTTCTGTTACCGTTTAGTTCTCCTGGTTTGTGTTTCTTTTGTCGCTGGTGTGGCAGGCAGGCAGGCAAGGCGTTAGACTGCGGTGACTGACGGCTGCTTCTCTTTCCTTTCTCTCACTGCTTTTGTTTTTGTCCAGAGCCTACAACTGCTGAGAGAGAAAATGGATCTACTGCCATTCCTGAGCCTGTTGCCAGGTAACCTGGGCTTGTTGTTACTTAGAGGAGTTTGATACAAAGGGCTGCTTAAAGAGAGGACCACATGAAAACACTCAGAGCCCAGCATAACGATGCAGCAGTGTGTTGCATTATAGGCTTCCTTGGTAATTTAATGTCTAACAAACTTTTGTTGTTCTTACTGTTAGAATACCTAGTGTTTTTCTCACCATTCATGTATGTGCCCTTTTCTTTGTCTGGTGATGACCAAAGGAAATAAAGGGCCAAAGAGATGGCTCTAGACACATTGTCCTGTGTTCAGTACTCGGCTGCAGCCTCAGGACATTCTGCCTTTTCTTGCCAAATATTTGCCAACTGAGCTATGCTGAGCTTTTTTTTGCTTTGTCACAAATGCTGCAAAGCATTGAGTGAAGTATGCTGGGATATGTAGGCTCTGGTGGCTGTGGGAACAGGGTTGTTTGTTTCTGGTGTGAGGCATCCCAGCGGGGAAAACCCAGGCCAGCAGTTGGTGACACATAGGTGAAGGCTGTAAGGCCAGCACAGGCAGGCACTGTGAGTAAAGCCATGGCTGTGAGAGTGCGGATGACTGAGGACGACAGCTACACCTGTGCTCCATTAAGAGTTCTTTGTCTCTTCAGTGGCTGTCAGTTTTTCGTGGGCTCGCTGGGCTAGAGCCCAGTTGTTGTGCTTGCCTAACTGAGGACTGTCATTCAGTCCTATGACGAATAAGTGACACTTCCAAAAAAAGGAGTCAAGCTTAGTATTGCCAAATCTTAAAAAAATTGAAGAGAATTTTAAGTTTTTTAAAAAACAAAGTGTTTACTGAGTATAAATGACCCTCTTTGTTGGTTTCTGAACTTTGGGGAGAACATAGGAAGGAAAAGTGAGGAAAAGCAAAGGATGGTGGGTTATGGGAAAGATGAAAGTCATTGGTATTGCCATGAAGCAATTCTTTTTTTAATTTAACCTATGCTTAAGAAATCTGTTAATTTTTTGACCATTAGGTTCATATTAAGAAGTTATTGAAAGAGGATGGAGACTTGGCTCAGTGGTTAAGAGCACTGGATGTTCTTCAGAGGATGTGGGTTCAATTCCCAGCACCCACATGGCAGTTCACAGCTGTCTGTAACTCCAGTCCCAGAGGTCTGATGCCTTCTTCTGGCCTCTTTGAGTTTCAGGCATTTGTGTGGTACAGAGACACACATGCAGGCAAAATACCTTGTATACGTAAAAGGATAAAATTAAAAACAAATTGTTAGAAAAATAAGACATTTCAAATAAGATTTGTATTGTAAATGCTTGTTGCATCCTCTGCATCTAGGTGAGGCATTTGAGTGTTCATGAGAGACACCTGGACTCTGTTCAGAGTACTTGATGCCACCTTATGTTTTCAGTCATTTTACTGTGGGAAGGCTAAAGTGTAGACCACAATAGAGATAGTGTAATATGGACAACCATATTGTAAGTGGCCAGTCTTCTTTAATTATAAAATCTTGGAGTACCCCCTTCCACCAGTGGGTTATTTTGAAGATGATTCTGTTTCATATCATTTTATGTAACTATTTCAGTGCTAGCTCTAAAAGATAAAAACTCTTATTTTAAATTAACCGATTGTTACCATACTTTTGACAGTAGTGATTTCTCAGTGCTGTTAAGTATATGGTGTTATCAAGGTCCCAGATCTACAAATCGCATCCAGTTAATATACTTAGTTCTGTTTGCTTTTAAGATCAAAATTTCTCTCTTGTTCCTTTTCCAAGTTATCTTCTAAAGGGACTAGATTGTTCATCCTATTTCTTTCTGGATTTTTCTCTTTATATCCTTTTAGTATTTAATAGAGTCTCTCCAGTGACCTCACTGAAGGTTTTTTTCTGTGTGTTTTGCCTGCATCTGTGTGCATGTACTACACATGTGCATGTGCATGTACTACACATGTGCCTGGTGCCCATGGAGGCCAGAAGAGAGTGTCAGATACCTGCAACTGGAGTCACAGGTGGTTCTGAGTTGTCATGTGGGTGCTGGGAATGGAACCTAGGTCCTCTGGAAGAGCAGCCTAGTGCTCGTAACTGCAGACATGTCTCTTTGGTTCCTACACTGAGAGATTTTTATTGTGCTAATTTGAAACATATCAAAGAGTTGGCTTTTGGGGGTAATGTAGATTGGCGTTTGGGATGCCAAGGAACTCTGTGTCTAAGTAGGGTGATCTCCAGAGGTACTTTTCCTTTTGAAACTTACAAGATGCATTGCTTTAATGCGTTATGTTAGTCCCCAGAAGCCCGTGCCTGTGTTTGGCTGCATCTGTGAAGCCCAGCAAGAGAAGGATGCCCAAAGTGAGGTTCCTCCCTCTGGACCCATCAGGTAAACATTTTCTTTTTCTTTTTTTGGGATGAGATTTCATTATGTAGCCCTAGCTGCTCTTGAACTTACAGAGCTCGCCTCTGCCTCCTGAGTGCTGTGATTAAAGGCTTGTGCCATACTGTCTGGTGTATTTTCTGCAGCATTGATTCATTGTATGATTGATTCCATTTCATGGTATTGATTGGCACTGTCATGTGAAGTTGGCTGTTTAAGTATTTACCTGTTTGTTTACTTGCTAAATTGTTATATGTTGTCTTGCTCAGGCTTGCCCTAGGCTTCTGGACTTAAGCATTGCTCTTGCTTCAGCTTCCTGAGTAGGGAAGTAGCTTCCACAGGGGCATGACTGTTTGTTTGTTTGTTTGTTTTAGTTTTAGCTTTATCAAGACAACATTTCTCTGTGTAGCCCTGGCTGTCCTGGAACTTGTCCTGTAGACCAGGCTGGCCTTGAACTCAGAGATCTGAAAGGCACCATATCTGGCTATTTATTTATTTTTAAAGATAAATATTCTTTTGTCATTTTACGTTACAAAAATTTATTTTCATTACAACTAAATTTTGTAATGTAATGTGGTGTGTGTATGTATGAGAGAGAGAGAGAGAGAGAGAGAGAGAGAGAGAGAGAGAGAGAGAGCGCGCAGTATATGTTCTCTCTCCACTAGAGCAGTATACATCCTTAACCAACCCCCCTGCCCCCCCCCCCCATGTCATTTCTCTAGCCCTCCTTCCCTGCTCTTTCAGTGTCTCTCATTGAATCTGGAGCTCATAGATTGGCTAGATTTGCTGACTATTAAGCTCAGGGATTCTCCCATTTCTCCCATTTCCCTACTCCAAGCACAGAGATTACTAACACAGGCTTGTCAACCAAACCTAAGTATTTATGACTATAATTTTAGCATTGATCATTTGTCAAGAGCTCCTAGGGAAATGAGGAGTACCAAATTCCTGATGTTTGGTAGTAATCTGCTAACACTGCCAATATTGTATTGAGTCACTGTTCCCCCCCACCCCCCTAGACTTTCTTGAGTCATGGTCTCACTCTGTGGCCCTGGCTAGCCTGGAACTAACTCTGTAGATCAAACTCACAGATCCACCTCACTCTTCTGGGATTGAAGGAGTGCTTCACCATGCTCTGCTCATCACTTTTGGTCTTTAAAGAATAACAGTTCTGATTACCTCTTTAGAGACAGGGTTGAGATTGGGGAGGGGAAAATCTTAAAATATCCATCTTTTAGGAAAAAAATTCTTAAACAAAACATAACTTTGCCTTAGAAGTAAAGTTTTATTCACAGGCTCTACTCTGAATAAATAGTTTCTGGGGTATCTTAGTTTCTTGGACCACAATAACTGCTGTAGGCTGGGTAGCTTATGAGCCACAAAAATGTATTTCTTAACATCTGTGGGCTCTGGACAGTCGTAGATTAGAGCTGGCAGTTCCTGGAGTGGTTCACAAGTGCACTCACAGCCTCAGGACAGTTGTTCCTTCGTCATGGAACACCTTCCAGAGCTCTCACTCTCCGTGCAGCTCCATGGGCTGTGGGGCTTTATGAGTTTTTCAGGCACAGATTCATTCTGTAGTATGAGGTAAATGTGCAAGCTTGTTTTAGGATGGGAAACAATTGTAGTCTTGACATTAGCATTTGAGTCTGTCAGCTTGTGTGGCAGTTTGTTTGCTTGTGAGTTAGTTGTCTTAAAGCTTAACATGACTCTGGAGGTGGGTTGTCTCATTATTGCTTTGTTTTGTGCAGCTGGGGGTGCTTATGTGTCTGCTGAGCTCAGCACTTTCACACTTTATGATCGATCATTCATAGATCATGAAGATCTAACTGCGATCCATGCGTTTCCTTGTAGTATGTTCTGTCCTCTGTCTCAGTGGCCCGTGTATCCTCAGTCAGCCAATGTTCCTGACAAATAGGACAGGCTTCAACAACTAAGATGCTCCTTTCAGGTGGAAGGCTGTTCAAGTCCATTGTCTGTTAGCACTGAGTAACAGAGACCTGCAAAATTCACTACCCACGCAGGGAGAGCCCTAACGGACGTTTTATACCCACGTAGGCAGACATAGCTGCTGTGAATGAGCCCCAAGCTTTGTTTTTCTCTGGCCAAAATGGGCAACAATATGCCCTGGTTTTTAAGCTCCTTCTGTGTGTTCTTCAGGGCTAGAACATTGTAGACTCAGAATGGATTTTTGTTTGTTTGCTTGCTTGTTTTAGAAAGCCTTAGTCTGTAGCTCAGGCAGACCTAGAATTCAACTGTGACACCCAAAGCAGGCCTGGAAGGTTCTGCAATCCTCCTGCCTCACGATTCCTAAGGGCTAGGATTACAGGTGTGAGTCACCACACCTGGTCACTTTTTTTTTCTTTCTATTTACATGTGACATAGCCTTGAAATGCATTCGTTTATGTTTATTTACTATGGCAGTAGCTTACTGATTTTGTAGTTTATTGATTTATGGAATATTCATTCTTTTGTTCAAAGTGCAGATATTAAGCACCTGTGTCACAGTTAACTTCAGATACCAACTTGATACAACTTAGGGTCACCTGGAAAAGGGAACCTCAACTCAAGAATTGTCCAGATTAGTTTGGTCTGGGACCATGTCTGTGAGGGATTTTCTTAATTGTAATTGATGGAGGGGGGCGGCACTGTGGGCGGCACCATTTCTAGGTGGGTGGGCCTGGGCTGTATAAGAAAGGCACCTGAAGCAACCCAGAGGAAGGCAAGTCATAAGCAGCGATCTTCCAAGGTCTCTGCTTCAGTTCTGCCACTCTCCAAGTGCTGCCGTTAGTTCCTGCTCTGGCTTCCCTTGTCAATGGACTGTAATCTGTAAGCCAAACAAACCCTTCCTATCCTCAAGGTGCTTTTGGTCAGTGTTTTATCATAGCAATAGAGACCAAACTAAGGTAACCTGTATTCTAGCAAGCTTTGTGTTAAGCATTTCACATATAAAGATAGACAAATTTGTGTGAAACCTGATTAGAGCTAGTCTGCATTTCTTATTCTAGAGAACTGTTAACATTTAAAACCTCCAGTCACTTTGGAAACAATAGTATTTGGCTTAGAGGCAATACCTAGCTAATGCTTATAGGATAAATAAGTCAGAAGAAGGGATCTCAACTGAGGAATTGCCTCCATTATATGGCTTGTAGGCAAGTCTGTGGCAGCATTTTCTTGACTAGTGATTCATTGTGGAAGGGCCCAGCTCGAAGTGAGTGGTGCTCCTAAGCAGGTGGTCCTGGGTTCTATAAGAAACCAGACTAAGCAAGCCATGGGGAGCAAGCATTAAGCAGCACTCCTTTTCTGGTCTTTGCTTTGGTTTCTGTCTCCATGTTTCTGCTACCAGTCCCTGTCCTGTCTTCCCTTGATGGGCTGTAATTTGTAGGCCAGGTAAACCCTTTCCTCCCAAGTTGTCTTTAGTCATGGTTTTTATCACAGCAATGGAAACCTAATTAAGACACCCTGGTTCTTCATTCTCACAAATGGGCAACTAATGAAGAGCTGGGGCTGGATCTTAAGGAATGTCTGCAGTTTTCCTGAGGTGTTTAGTGTAGATGTGCCCAGGAAGCTCAGCCCTGAGACACTGGACACATGCCGTCACCAAAAGGCCTTTTGACCTGGAGAGACCAGAGTCTTACCTGGAACTTTCTTCCTTGACGGTTGTAAGTCTTCTAAATTACTGTTCAGGAGGGGGCAGACCACATGCATGGTGTAGGAGTCAGTAAAGAAGGTTAGAGCCGTTCATAAAACCTAAAGAGACATCATCAGTGACTGATAGCGTGCTCTCGCTCCCTCTCCCTTTCCCTCTCCCTCTCCCCCTCCCCCTCCCCCTCCCTCCTTCCCTCCTTTCTTTTTTCTTTCTTAGTCCCACCTTGTAGCCCTGGCTATCTTGGAACTCACAATGTAGACCAGGCTGGGCTGGAACTCACAGTGATTCACCTGCCTCAGCATCCTGAGTGCAGCTTTGGAAGTGGATTGCTAAGCTGCCTTGGATTGCTTGGGGTTCATAGGATTTGCCTCTTGTTACCAACCTCGCTCCTGTGTGTGCTTTTGGAATTGTCTTAGTTCACTTATTGCATGTTTGTGTTGGCTGATGGTAGAGCTCAAGCCATGAGGAAAGGGGGTTTAACTTGACTTTCGGATGTGCTTGAAGATTAAGGGGCTGCATCCAGTGATGACTTTCTTTTCTTTTTTGGGATTTGGGTTTTTTTTTCCAAGGCAAGGTTTCTCTGTGTATCCCTGGCTATCCTGTAACTCCTGGAACTCAAGAGATCCACCTGCCTCTGCCTCCTGAGTGCTGGGATTAAAGGTGAGTACCATAACACCTCACAGATCTATCCTTTTTATGAAGCCACCAGTATTTATTCATAAATGCCCTACCCCAGTGACCTTGTCAGATCTTAATTACTTCCCAGAGACCCAGCTCAAATACTGTACACGATTGGATTTAGCATTTATCCTTTTGATACATCATCACGATATCACGATGGGGATTGTTTTATTATTATTATTATTATTATTATTATTTTATTTTATTTTATTTTATTTTATTTTATTTTATTGTTTTTGTTTTTTTTGAGACAGAGCTTCTCTGTGTAGCCCTGGCTGTCCTCGAACTCACTCTGTAGACCAGGCTGGCCTCGAACTCAGAAATCCGCCTGCCTCTGCCTCCCAAGTGCTGGGATTAAAGGCATGCGCCACCACCGCCCGGCTATTTTTATTATTTTTTTGAGACAGTTTTACAATATAGCTTTAGTTGTCCCTGAATCCATGATCTTCAGCCTCCTGAGTACTAGGATTATAGACATGTACCACCACACTGTCTTAAAGGAATAACCTGCATTCAAACCGTGATATGTGGCGTCTTTGTCATTTTCAGGGGGAATTTGCTCCATTTTCCAAGTACTCAAGAAGAAGACAAAGAAAAACTGGATGATACCCCAAAGCTCAGGCAGAGTGAACAGCCTGTGAACCCAAGTGGGCCTGTTAAAGATGCTGCTGCTTCTGAGGACTCTGCCTCTGTTTCCCAGCAGAAGGCCTCACAGGGGTCGTTAAGTCCTCAAGTGGAAGTGATGGAAACAGACCTGCTAGAAGGACTGGGTGCTAACCAGGACAGACCTAGTAAGATCTTGATGGAAAAGCCCACCCAGAGTAACATAGGAATCCAGACCATGGACCATTCCCTATGTGCCCCAGAAACTGTTTCAGCAGCAACCCAGACTGTGAAGAATGTATGTGAGCAGGGGACCAGTACAGTGGAGCAGAACTCTGGGAGACAAGATGCCACTGTGCAGACTGAGAGAGGGAGTGGAGAGAAACCTGCCAGTGCTCCTGTGGACGACACAGAGTCCCTCCACAGCCAGGTGGGAGCATAGCTGGGTGCCTCAGGGGCCCTGCTACAGACTGTATTCTCTGAGGGTCTCAGTTTAGTGCTTCTCATAACAGTCTTATGTTTTTAGTCTTGTGTATGTGTGTGCATGTACACGCCACATGGGGCCCGTGTATGAAAGTCAGAAGACAGCCGTAGGTGTTAGCCCTCAGGTGTTTTCCATTTTTTTTGTTTGAAACAGGACCTCTCATTGGTCAGAAGCTTCCCAGATAGGCCAGCTTACCTGACCTCTTGAGTTTGGGGTCATGTCTTCTCCCCTTCTCACTATTGTTGGGAGTAGATAGACCACTGTACTCAGCTCTGCACGTTGGTTCTGGCAGTCTGAACTCAAGTTTTAACGCTTTACTGACTAAGCCATCTCCTCACCTTCAATGACATTTGGTTTTGGTTTTGTTGTTGTTTGTTTGTTTTTATCTTATTTGTTTTTTGACACAGGGTCAGTCTCACTTGGCTGGCCTGAACTCAGAAAGATACTTCTGACTCTGCCTCCCAAGTGTTGGGATTAAAGGTGTGTGCCAACATGCTCTGGCTAATAATCTTTTTAATTAAAAAGATTGACAGAGGACTAGAGTAGGGATAAGGTATGCTATCTAGGATTGCTTTTTTTGTAGGTATTGGTAGAATTGTCATAGAGGTTTCATGTTCTGTAAAAGGGGAATTACTTGTTTCTCATGATGATTGGTGATGGTGATGATGGTGGCTAGGCCATAAATGAGTCATTGAGGACCAGATTTACATGCTAATGGAGAAGCTTTAAGGGTTGAGGGATAAAACATTTATTGCAGTATCCAACATTTCTGAAGATATTGATGAGTGCTGTTATCTATTGATTTTCTTACAAAGATTAATTAATTTTATTTTTTGTAAGTGTCTGTTGCTGTGTGTATATGCCATGTTAAGTGCAGGTGCTCATAAGGACCAGAAGAGGATGCCAGATCCTCTGGAACTGGAGTTACAGATCTATGTGAGCTGCCATGTGGATGCTGGGAGCCAAACCAGCCAGTGATAGATAAATTCTGTGTGTGTGTGTGTGAGAGAGAGAGAGAGAGAGAGAGAGAGAGAGAGAGAGAGAGAGAGAGGGGAAGGAAGGAGAGAGAGAGAGGGAGAATATGAGAATGTGTGTATGTGTGTGTCAGACACATACACATTAATTTAGGTTCTTGGAGACACACATTAATGCAGGTGACTAGGGAGTCCAGGAGTCACCTAGTGTGGGTGTTGGGAACTGAACTCTGGTTCTCTACAAGAGTAGTGAGTACTCCTAACCAGTGAGCCATCTCTCTAACTCCTACCTGTCGATTGTTATGGGTGTTATTTTAGCAACCACTTTTGATAGATATTACTACGATGCCATGCAGAATGAGAGAATGTCTTTCAGAGCTAGTTTCTCCTGCTGAGAAAGTGCTAGGGGCTGGAGAGATGGCTCAGTGTGCTTAAGAGCCTTGTTCTTCTAGAGGACCTGAGTGTAGTTCTCAGCATCCATGCTGGGCAGCTTACCCCTGGCCTCAGCTGGCCTCTGAGGGTGTATACCCTCACACATGACATATGTTCATCACAGACATATGCACATAAATAAAATGAATCTCAAAACAAGTGCTAGAAAAATGCAGCTGGTGTATTGGTAAAGAGTGTTAGGGGGAAAGTTCTGGAAAGTGGAGTGTGGAGAACTTGAAATTGGTGTGGTCTTTTGAAGGACTGTTAGAGACAAACACTAGATGGAGTTTTTCTGAGTGTCAGAGCTTTTTTAAAAAATCTCTCTGAAATAGCTCGGACTCAAGCCAGTGCTCAGTGAAAGTTCAGGGCCGCTTTCAGGCTCCCTAAACGTGAGTGTGTGAAGTGTATATGGAACTAGATTTTCTGTGGTGGGAAAATGACTTTTTCCCACCCGGTAATAGTGGAATATTCAAGTTATTCAACTTTGGAGACTCTTCTCACAAGTTAGCATAGATTATCTGCCTCCCTCTCAGACTCTTGTCTTTATCAGCTAAGTATGTCCCTTGAAGGGTTCACTTTTATGGGCAGAAAGATCTTTATGTTAAGATCTCAGGATGCAAGATGGACCAGCTAGTGGGGAACAGTCAGTGCGTAAGTCATTTTAGGCTGTCTTGGCTATGGTACACAGTGATGGACATGCAATAGCTATGTTCTAACCTCATTAAACAGAGTCACATATCTGGAAACAATTTGAAGAGTTGGTTTAGGGTCCATGGTTTAAATTTTATATCTCTGTTTGACTCCATAGCTGAAGTCAGAGTTAGAATTGTTCAGTTATATTATTGAAAACTTGGGGCTTTCTACCTGCTCCTCCATAGAATGCAGAGCCAGTGGGATGAGGACAAGGACAGATGTCCTTGAGATGTACTAGACATGGATAACGAGAAGACGTTAATGAGAAGACGGACCAAATGCTGGCAAGTTTTAGCTACCAGCAAGTCCTAAGTAGTAAACACTGGCAGGCTCTAAGAAGCTAATGATTAGGGGTAGTGAGCAAATAGGGCTTTGAAATCTAGTTTGCAAATAGTCCTTTTTATCAAAATTATCCAAATATGACTAAAGCATAATCTTGGGCCCCATTTGACAATAGAATGTGAACATGAGGGTTGGGGAGACAGTTGAGTTCATGAAGTGCTCAGTGCTCAAACGTGAGGGCTGGAGTTCCATCCCCTAGAACCTGTGTACAAAACCTGATGGAGGAATATGCACCCTGGGATCCTAGCACTGGGGTAGCAAAGACAAGTTCCCTGGGGCCTGCTGAGCAGCAGCCAGTCTAATACAATTGGCAATAGGTTTAAGGGGAGAGAGTAATTGTAGACACATTGACCCTTAGGTCTTCGTGAACATTCATAGACACATGTGTGCACACACATACACACACAGATCTAGAAGAAATTATAACCATGAAACAGCCTGGTTCTTGTTTGTTGTCTGCTTGTTTGTTTGAATAGTGGTCTAAGAATTCTTAGTTTGTTATTTATATTAGTCGGTAATAGTGCATTTGAATTTCTCAAGCCCTGAATGAATTATACCTGCCCTGATCTTTCTAGCAGTTGTTTGGATCCATGATGCACATAAGCTAGTTGCTAAATATTTGCATCATGGTTTTTGAATGAAAGAAGCTTATTTTTCTTGAAGTAATATGAAGTTGTCAAAAAATAGGGTTTTGTTCAAGCTATTTTTAATGGTAAATCTTAAAACTGTTTTATTATTTTTATTTTGTGTGTTTGAATTTTGCATGAGTATATTTAAGTGCACTGGATAGTACTGGATCCCCTAGCACTGGAGTTTATAGACAGTTGTGAGCTGCCATGTGGGTGGCAGGACTTGAACTCCAGGGCCCTGGTAAGAGCAGCAAGGGTCCCTAACCAGTGTGCTATTTCTTCCATTCTAGATATAAGATCTTAATTTGGTTTCGTTGTTGTTGTTTTGGTGACAGGTTACCTAGGCGCTAGCCTCAAACTATATAATCTAGAAATGGCTTTGAACTTCTAATTCTCCTGCCTCTACCTCCAAGTGTTGGGATTATAGATGTAAACTACCATGCCCAGCTTTCTAACGTAATCCTTTAGTTAAAAAAATCCATTCCTTGTGTCTTAAATGGGATTTCTGTGACTAAACACCATGACCAAAACCAACTTGGCTAAAAGGGTTTATTTGGCTTCCATATCCAGAGTCATAGTCCATTGAGGGCAGCCAATGCAGGGGCTCAAACAACAGGAACCAGAGACAGAAGCTGATGCCCAGGCCATGGAGGGCTCTACTTAGTGGCTTACTCCACATGGCTTGCCTAGTTTCCTTTTTTTGTTTTGGTTTTTTGGTTTTTATTTCTGTTCTTGTGGTTTTGTTTTGTTTTGCTTTGATTTGTTTTGAGTCAGTTTTCTTCTGTGTTGCCCTGTCCTTCCTGGAACTTGCCCTGTAGATCAGACTAGCCACCAACTCAGAGAGATCCACCTGCCTCTTGAGTGCTGATCCCACCACTGCCTGGCTCAGCCTGATAGAACTCAGGCTGAGGAGTGTCACCACCCACAGTGGGCAGAGCCCTCCCACATCAGTCACTAAGAAAATGCCCTATAGCCAGATCTTCTGGAGGCATCAGTGAGGTTCCATCCTCTGCTTTTTGTTACTGAACTGGTTTCACTGGTTAACAGGTGTTGACTCTGGACTTCTCTAAGGGTCAAAGAGCATCTATATTTTAGGTAAAGCACTTTTATCATCAGAATTAAAGGATTAGCTGGTTGTGGTGGCACATACTTATCAGAGCCTGAGGCAGGAGGATCATGAGTTGGAGAGATCAGCCTGGGGTACATAGTGAGTTGAAGACAAGTCTGAGCTATACAATGAAACAATAAGTTGAAAAAATTTAGAATGCTTATTTGTTCAAAATAATGTGTTAGATAGGTACTGTGGTTGAGCTTTGTCATTTCAGGTCAAGTCAGGCAGACACAGATTTCTGCAGCCTCTTCTCAGTCTTGCCCGTGAATAAATGGAGCACTTGTCACATCAGGTTCATGAGCCTTCTGACTGTTCATCTGACAGTTTACAGTGAAAACTGACTCCATTCCACTTTGTGTTCACTGATTTTGTTCTGTGTTGTGTCTTTTGTTGTAGGGGGAAGAAGAATTTGAAATGCCCCAGCCTCCACATGGCCATGTCTTACATCGCCACACAAGAACGATTCGTGAAGTCCGTACACTTGTCACCCGTGTCATCACAGATGTTTATTATGTGGATGGAACAGAAGTGGAGAGGAAAGTAACGGAGGTAATAACTGCATCCACTTACTCCCCGCCCCTCCTGTCCCGGAGTCCTTTCCCTCTCCACTCTTTCAACCCTGGGTCACTAGGCACTGCCACTTTCCTTCAGTTTCTTTTTTTTGTTTTTTTGTTTTTTTTGTTTTTTTTAATTTTGAGATGGTGTCCTTTTACACAGCCCTGGCTGTCCTGGAACTTGCTCTGTAGACCAGGCTGACCTCTTATCTCACAGAGATCTGCCTGCCTCTATCTCCTGAGTGCTACCACTGTCTGACTGGTTTGTTTCTTACTGTAGCTCAAGCTTCTTAACCTGCTGTGTAGCCATTCTTGAACTTCTGATCTCCCTGTCTCCAGCTCTGTTTATGTTTCTGACAAACCTAAGGCCACATATGTGTGAGTGGCAGGGGGCAATCCCCCAATTGCACTCCATCCCAAGCCTGTGCGGTTTCTTTCCTTTTAACATTCATTCACTCTATTCATTTGTTCATTCATTCATTCATTCATTCAGTGTGTGTATTCATGTGGGTGTGTGTGTACGGTGGCCCGTGTGTGACAGCTTTCAGAGACGGCTCTCCTCGCATCGTATGGCTCTGGGCTATCAGACTTGGGTCATGAAGCATCATATGAGACATTTTGCTGTCTATCCTTGCCCTCCTTCAAACTATAAATTCTCAAAGGAGAAATTTTCCAAAAGGGAGAAGTCAAAAACAACCATTTGTTTACCTTTTCGTAGTATTACATAAATATGTGTGGTACATAATGTCTCTGTGGAGAGGCTGGGGCTGGTGACAGGAGGGTCTTCTTTCTCCACATCCTGTCAGTTAGCATGATGGCTCTGTAAACATTTTAGATGAGGAAGACAAAATTGTGTCATGTATGCCTATTTCCTTATGCTGTGCCTGTTGAGGATGCTGTGTCTTGGTCCTAGACCACTGTTGTACCATGCCTGGGCTTCAGTCTCACTAGCTGGCTTACCACTGAGCTAGCCAGCTTGATATTCTAGTGGTTTGTACTTATCAAAAATTCATCATCATCATCATCATCATCTGAGACAGGGTCTCATTATGAAGCCATGGCCGTCTTGAAATGTAGTCCAGGCTGGACTCTCTATGAGTTCAAACTCATAGAGATCTGCCTGCATCTGCTTCCCAGTGCTGGGATGAAAGGTGTGTGACTGCACTCAGCATGTACTTCCATTATGTGAGGCCCTCTGCCCATGCCGGATAGAGTTCAGAACTGTAAACTCAGTACTCTCCCACGAAACGACATCCTTGGCTCTGATAATGGTTTTGTTTTCATTTTTACAAACCAATTTTAGTTATTTTTGCTTATAATTTTGTTTCCTCGCTCACTTATCAAGGAACTAATGTTACTGATGTGCCCAGAATGGCTCCTGCCCACTCCTCTCAGTGACCTCTGTCGTTCTCTCCACAGGGAAGTGGCTTCTGCCCTCTGGGCTAAAGTCCTTGCTAGTAGCCTGTGCTTAAGAGCTTTCCCAAGAGAGATCATTTCATGTGACATAGAAAGGGTTCTTTCTTCTTAGTGTTTCACTACATGTTACATGTTAAGTGTTTGGTTCAATAGCTTTGAACAAGTTTAAAAACAATATTTATTTACTTAATTTTGAGTCAGGGTTTCACTGTATAACCCTGGCTAGACTGAAATTGATATATGGATCAGGCTAGCCTCAAACTCAGAGTTTACCTGCCTCTGCCTCCTAGGATTAAAGATGTGTGCCATCATACTGGCTATGCTTGAAAAAAATTTATGTAGCCATGGCTCAAAACAGATATAGAATAGTTCCATTGCTTCAGAAAGTTCCTTCCCGATTCCCACCTGGCTGATGTGACATTTCCTGCTGTCTCTAAGATTTCTCAGCCATCACCTTAGCTTTCTGTTAGTGTGCTTTCTTTTAGCTTCCCTATCTGTTTCTTCCCTTCAGGAGACTGAAGAACCAATCGTAGAATGTCAGGAATGTGAAACAGAAGTTTCCCCTTCACAGACTGGAGGTTCCTCTGGGGACCTGGGGGACATCAGCTCCTTCTCTTCCAAAGCTTCCAGCTCACACCACACATCCAGTGGAACAAGTCTCTCAGCCATACACAGCAGTGGCAGCTCAGGGCGAGGAGCTGGGCCACTCAAAGGAAAAACCAGTGGGACAGAACCTGCAGATTTTGCCTTACCCAGTTCCCGAGGAGGCCCAGGAAAACTGAGGTGCAGACAGGTTCTCCAGAGAGAACCCAGCAGGGGCAGGGCTGCTAATGTTTTAATATCACATGAGAAGAAATATTGGGGTGTGCCCCACCTTGAGCTGGAGAAATCAGTGCCTTTTCCTCCCTTGTGGGCAAAGAAGCCCTTTAGGGGATGTTGGGAATGCTGGGTACATTCTCCTGCCATCCCTATGTTCTGCAGCTTATCCATAGTTTGGTTGGGAGTACAGATTTGGAATAGGCCCCACTGCGCTCTGTGCCCTTGGATTTTGTCCTTGGATTTTGCTCTGTGGGTATCCAGAGTCTGAAGTAGAATAGAAGGTTGGGCAGAAATGGGTGTGGCATTTCAAATAGTAGCAGCAGGAAGCTATGTCAGGAGGGAGTAGACATTCATACAGGAAAAAGTCCTTTTATCCCATCCTCCCTTGCTCCCCGGCTGAGGTTTTGTTGATGATTTTGATGGGTGTGAGCCAGCTTCCTGTTGCTCTGAAGGAGCAGCACATGTAGCCTGACATATAGTTGGAAGGTTCTGGGGAGATGTTAAAGCATGCATTCATCAACAGCTGCTGTCAAACTAACCTGTCTTCATTCTCTAGTCCTAGAAAAGGGATCAGTCAGGCAGGGGCACCAGTGTGTGAGGAAGATGGTGATGCAGGCCTTGGTGTCAGACAAGGAGGGAAGGCTCCAGTCACACCTCGTGGGCGTGGGCGAAGGGGCCGCCCACCTTCTCGGACCACTGGAACCAGGTACTTGGGTAGTGTTGAAAAAATAGGAGTAGAGGGAAGAGGAGAACAGAGTGTGTAGGGTACGAGAGGGAGAGGAGGCCCACACTGCTGCCTGAACCCCTGAGAGACGGGGCTCATGCCTGCGATGGGTTCATAACGAACGGGCAAGAGTTCTGTAGGGAAGAGAGTGGGAAGGTAGGTCCTGCCTTGTTCTCACTTCCTCCTCTTGTCTTTAGAGAAACAGTTGCATCTGGCCCATTGGGCATAGAAGACATTTCACCTAGCATGTCACCAGATGACAAGTCCTTCACCCGAATTATGCCCCGTGTGCCAGACTCTACCAAACGGACAGATGCCAGTTCTAGTGCTTTGCGGCGGAGTGATTCTCCAGAGATTCCTTTTCAGGCTGCTACTGGTTCCTCTGACGGCTTGGATTCCTCATCTTCAGGAAACAGCTTTGTGGGGCTCCGTGTTGTAGCCAAGTGGTCATCCAATGGCTACTTTTACTCTGGGAAAATCACCCGAGATGTCGGAGCTGGGAAGTATAAGCTGCTCTTTGATGATGGGTATGAATGTGATGTGTTGGGCAAAGACATTCTCCTGTGTGACCCCATCCCCCTGGACACTGAAGTGACAGCCCTCTCAGAAGACGAGTATTTCAGTGCAGGTAATAAAACAAGCAGAGTCCCTACAGCTGTACTGTGTCTGCTGGTCCATCTTGTCAGCAGTTACCAAGACAGTCTTGTCTTCCCCCAGCCTGTCTGTTTCTCTGGATCTCACAAGTCAGAGATGCCATTCCTATTACATTGCTTACTCTTGCCACTGACTATTTGTAGTTTGGTTTTTAGTAAGCGTATTTTGGAATAGTTAGAGAATTAAAGGAAACGTTACCAAGTACAGAATGGTGTTGGGGTAGAGGATCTGCGACCTCCTCGCCAGGCATCCGTATCCGCAGTGTCCTATATTACTCTGATATTGTTGTAAGAACCAAGAAGCCAATCTCAATTCCTAACTGTTAACTAAACTCCAAACTTTATTTGGATTTTACCATCTTTTCTATAATGTCCTTTCTCTGTTTCAGGATCCAATCAAGGATACCACATTACATTTAGTCATCATGTTTCGTTTGGTCTCCTCTGGTTTGTGGCAATTTCTGTCTTTTGTTTTTCCATGACCTTGACAGTTTTGAGGGGTAATAGCTATTTTATAGAATGGCCTCTCAGATCAGGTCTGATGTTTTCACATTAGACTGGAGTTACGATTTTGTTTGAATTCATTGTAAAGAGCCCTTCCTATCGTATCATAGATGGGGCTGAGGGAGGCTGCCATCACTGTACATCACTGGGGATGCCTTTATCACTAGGTAAGGTGGTACTTTCCAGGTCTACCCACTTAAACATTAGTGTTTCCTCTTTGTATTCTGTCTTCTTTCACTCCCGCCTTTTATGCCCTGGCTGTCCTGGAACTTGCATTGTAGAGCAGGCTGGCCTCAAGCTAACAGAGATCCCCCTGCCTCTGCCTACCGAGTCCTGGGGTTAAAGGTGTGTGCTACTATGCCAGGCTTCACCTCTGACTTTTAAGCTCACTGACTGCATTGATAAGAATTTAGCCAGAGATTGGAGGTGTACTGAGATATTTTAATTTAGGAAGAGTTTGTTAACTCAGCACACTGTATGTCATGCTCTTATTTGAAGAATGATGCCCTTGTTTTGTTTTTTTTTCAGGGAGTCTTAGGTCACTGCCCTTCTTTTTGTAATAGCCAGTGTGGGCAATGGTGAGGTATTCATGTGTGCTTTTACTTTTTCATATGTTAATTCTGTGAATATAGCTTTTAGCTATATGGTGTTGATGTCATTTAGAAATATCCTTTCTGGATATTGTGTTGAACATGGGTAGAATGGGAGAACAAGCTTTTCTGTTGGGAGCTTCCAGGCTTTCTTGTTCTAGGGTTATCCAAGTATCTGGTTTTTGCTCCCTTGTTTTGGTGCTTTGGGGCCACTTTACCTTGTAACACTAGATAACATCATTGGATGTGTGGCATTACGTAGCAGTACATGAAACTGGTAGCTCATGGTTTGTATGTATTGTATTCATCTGGTATGAAGCCATGTTAGAGGTTGACCTTTGGCTCTTTCAAGGTAGATTGGTATCAGCAGTAAGTGTGCATCATGGGATACGGATTCGGCATTCCACTTGTTGAGGCTATTTACCAGTGTCAGTAGCACACTGCTTCTAGTTGTAGTAGCTGTTCCTTAGTGAGTGTCCTCCTGGCTTTGGGCACGTGTCAGTCTGAGGTGATCTTTAGGATTTGGTTTGGTGATAGGTTTAGGAGACGAGAAAGCTGAGTAATGGAATGGATTGTGTGGCCCAGCAGGAGCACTAAGACTTGCTTCCTCCTCCTTGCTTTTCCCTGGCAGATAGCTAGGGCCCTTAGCCCTTCACTGAAGACAAGCTAATGGACAATGATGTGTACCTTTCTGTTTATCAGAACAAAAAATATCAGTAGTGACGTGTGTGCCATTTTTATGTTGTGTGTGAGATATATGTTTATTGGTTGGTAGAAAAGAGTGTGGGTTTTAGTTGTTTTTTTTTTTCCTTTTTTCATAGAATTGGAAATAGATCTTGCCTAACTAATCCTTACATAACAGAACTAGGCCTAAACTCGGGTTGATTGAGTTCGAACTCAGCCATGTATTGTGCTCCTAACCTAAAGGCTTGTCTGTAGCTGTGGATCAGGGTAAGAGCAGCAAGGTGGAGGAGGGCAGGGAAGCAGGGTCTGTGTCCCCGTTCTTTGCTCTCTCCATCCTGATTTTGTTGTACAGTAGATAAGGATGTACATGATTTCTTAGAACTGTCATTTTCACCTGTAACCTAGGACTATCTCTCATTCTTCAAAGGAACCACAACGGGAAGGCTCAGGAGATCCCTGTAGGATCATTAAGCAACCATGCCATTCACTTCAGGAGATTCATTTGAGCCACTAGTAATTCCTAAGTCAAGCGTTGGGAAGCTTTATTTTATAACTAAAGACTTCTTTCTCTCAGAAGACCTTGTCTAATCTTAGTGTATTAAAACTACATATATCCCGAGTGTTGTAAACCATTTGGGATGGACAGCCAAGTTCAGCCCATGGTTGATGGCTCTTTGTGTTCCCTGCCTCAGGCCTGCTTTGGTAGAACCCTTCTGAGAGTGTGCTAAGCAGCCTACAGTTTTGCTATCTTTTATAATATCATTTCCAGGAGTGGTGAAAGGACACAGGAAGGAGTCTGGGGAGCTGTATTACAGCATTGAAAAAGAAGGCCAAAGGAAGTGGTATAAACGAATGGCAGTCATTCTGTCCTTGGAGCAAGGAAACAGACTGAGAGAGCAGTATGGCCTTGGCCCCTATGAGGCTGTCACACCGCTCACAAAGGCAGCAGATATCAGCTTAGGTGAGACTTTCCTGAACAACTGCCTATGGATCCATGCTTTGCTTAAAGGGAGCTATGGTTTATAGAGTAGTTAGGAGTGATTGCCTGACTCCTTTGTGTGGTTTAGTGGATAGTAATGAATGTCATTTCCTAGAGTTACTGCCATACTTTTCCCCCTTCCAAATACCAAATAAGAAGTCTCTAGGGCTTTTCCAGCCTTTCTCCTTCTATAGGGGAGCAAATATATCTCAGTCATGGCAGTGTTGGAACATAAAATGTGTGGCTTTAGAAGGAGGCTTCTTGGTTGGGAGAGGTTGCAGAAAGCACAGAACTATCCATGTCAGGTTTCAGTTCTTAGCCTGATCTTACTAGCCTTTGCTCACTCATCAGACAATTTGGTGGAAGGAAAGCGGAAACGGCGCAGTAATATCAGCTCCCCAGCCACCCCCACTGCCTCCAGTAGCAGCAGCACAACGCCCACACGTAAAACCACAGAGAGTCCCCGAGCTTCCACGGGAGTTCCGTCAGGCAAAAGGAAACTTACGACTTCTGAAGAGGAACGGTCCCCTGCTAAGCGAGGCCGAAAGTCTGCCCCTGGGAAACCTGGTAAGATGGGAGCCTGGTACACGGTGATGTCACAGACTGGTGCCTACAAGTGTATAGGTTATTCTGGCATAAGCTACATTCCTTGTCCTCTCTTCAGAGCCCAGCAGGAGGGCAAGACTTGATCACAGACAGACTCTGTGTGGGCTCTTTGGGGAATATAAGTATGTAAGTTTACGTAGACTCAAAATGGATAAAACTTAGGTTTTATCCTCTGCCATCTCCTGCTTCTTGGTAGACTTTGTTTCTACTACCTTCCCTCCCGGGCGCCCGCCGCCCCCGGCGCCCAATTATCTTGTGTTTAAACTTTCTCAAGCTTCCTATAGAAAGGTTGTGCTTCAGCCTGTATCTTCCCTTTGTCCTGCCCATCGCTTTCAGTCACTCCTATTCATTGTGAAGAAAATTGAGTCAGTTGTTCAAGTGTCTGTGGTGGCCCCGACCTGGCCACGGTGGCTTCTGCAGATAGAGGTAAAGCCTTGTCTCTTTTGTACAGGGTCTCTCAGGCTGGCACCGTAACAGCACCCCATATTCCCAGCCCCAGCTCTTTGTTTTTCCTGTTGGAGTTGTGTCATCTGCTTACCCACCTAATACCACCGCCGTGTATTTAAGGTTATTTAAAAACAGTAATAGCTAACCTTTTTTAAATATTTACTGGGTTAGGCATGAAGCCTAAATATTTTCACTCATACTCCCTTATATAATCTCTTAAAGCATATGTGCTAGAATTCTCTTTGTATATTTTTAAGAGTCTTAAGACAGAAAAGTTAGGTAACTTTCTCAATGTGACAGATTAAGCCAGATCTCAAATTCAGGTAGACTTGACCCTTTAGTCCAGTGTCAAATGCATAGTATTATGGCCTCTGACTGTTCCTGATCCTGGTTTTATTTTAGGAGGCATGCATGACCTGCTGTCATCTTAGCCTCCTAGTGAACCTGATTCAGCTTCAGTAGGTATCCATTTCCTTCTGGAGGACTTACTGGGGCACATCTTAGCATGGGTGTTCTGGAATGGAGGCTCACTTACCTTCCCAGGTGTTGACAGCTGGGTGTTCGGGGTATTTTGTTGTGGCTTCACCTCCACATAAAGACTATCACCAAGTATTTGGCACTGTTCTGGTGAGAGCCTAAGGCACAGTGGGAGAATCTGATTGGGACAGTTCTCGGCAGCAATGAAAAGTTGTTTTTTTTTCGTTACTCTTTGAAGATTGCTTCAAAATGTTAGAGACCTAGGCAATGAACGTGGTTGAAGACTTCCAAACACTACATTTTTGTTCTAGATCCACCTTTGATTTCAGGTGGCCTTAGAATTTGATGTTATAGAAATAGTACCAGTTCATTTCCATATATGAAACAACAGACTGCCCACTGTAATGGTCACGTCAGATTTAAATGTTATTTTGTCTTCGTTGTAAATTTGGTCCTAGGTTGTTGGCCATTTAGAGTTTTGGGTCATAGCTTAGACAAAGCTTACTAGGACATGGCCTATCTGGTCACGCTTGGTGCTAGGCCTTTGTCCAGGTAGTGATCTGTGTGCATCGTTTGGTAACTCTGCTTTGTTCTTCCCAGGGACAGTGGGGGCAGCAGAGTTTGTGAGCCCCTGTGAGACTGGAGACAACACAGGTGAGCCTTCTGTCCTGGAAGAGCCAAGAGGGCCTTTGCCCCTCAACAAGACCTTGTTTCTGGGCTATGCCTTTCTCCTCACCATGGCTACAACCAGTGACAAGCTGGCCAGCCGCTCTAAGCTGCTAGATGGTCCTACAGGAAGCAGCGAAGAAGAGGAGGGTGAGTCCCCAGGGGTGCTGACCTATTCGTTCTTTCCATTTACTTTGTGTGAAGGGATGGTTCTTTCGTTCAGGTAGAACAGTGCACCAGACAGGTGGTAACTGCGATTCTGGTTACGTAAGTAAAATTAACTTGTACCATATTTCACAAAATTGTTCTCAGTGAATAGTTCTCAAGATAGTCTTGGTAGGCAGCTGAGAAATATTTATCTTTTTGTTGATTTACACACTACATAGATCCATGTGTACACTCTATAGATTTATGTATGGATGTATATGTATGTGTGCATATGTATGGTAGTAATGAGACAATTTAGAAGTGTTATTCTTCTTCCTAAAGTAAGAGGTCCCAGGGGATCAAACTCAGGTCACCAGGCTTGGCAGCCTAGGGAGAGTTCCCTTCTTCTTACATAAAATCAATGATAAAAATCTGTCATTCTATCAGGGTTAAACGGCTTCAACAATGGCAGACTTGGAATTAGAACAAAGTGCTGGCTTTACCTTCCTAGAACTATCCAGATCCAGCAGGTTCCTGGTGTTTGGCCACCTTCCCCATTTATGCTCTAGCATCTATTTAAGAAAACCCACATGGAGGATACATTTCGTTCTGAGTATAAGAAAGGAACCAGGAGAGTTCTTTCTTATCCAGTGTCCCAAGATAGTTTGGGAAGAATTAGTTTCTAGGCCCTTTCAATTCTTGGACCTCTCATTAAAGTAAGTCTGTATGCCACATATATTAATTTATATCTAGGTGAAGTCTGTGGTCAGGTGGTAGAATGTATTTCAGAGGTCTGACAAATATGTGGTGTAGGAGAATGTGTAGATCAGACATATACAGTGAGTGACAATAGTCTCCAGGTTTCTGTCCAAGCTTGAGAACTAGATTGTTTTGTAAGTTAGAGTTCTGACTCATGTTGAGTCTTGTGAGAAGGAATTAAAATGAGGAAAATGTGACTGTCATAAAATGGTATACTGAAGCTGTATGAGAACTACTCACTAGTTACAGCCATTCAAACATGTACAGGGCATGGGAAAAGTCATCTGGGAACTGCACTGACATTTATAATGTTTGGAAGGTGCCTATCTGAGATGTTCTGGTGATGGGCGGCTGGGTTTTGAGAAAAAGTATAGTACGTGTGGTTTGTCAAACAGAATTGAGATATGTACAGTGGAAGAAAAAGCAGTGACCCAGCCTGACCTCAGTATTGGGATTCCCTTGAGTTCCATGCAGCAGTCTGGCATTACAGCAAAGATGGTTTGCAGACTTTTTTGCTTTTCCAGTGTTGCTTTAACAGCTTAGCCCTTGAAACCAGACTTCACAAGACAGTTGTACATAGGTGTTTGTTGCTTGGAATAGTCCAGAAAAATCAGAGTGATGCAGGCTGTTCAGTTCCTCAGATATATTAGTGAATTTCTGTCTGTCTAATCACCAGTAGCTGAAGAATAGAAGAGGAAGCAGTTACAAATAGACATTAAAGTAGCACCTAGGAAGCCATTATTTAAATTTTATAATATAAAAATTTTTTTTGTTATGCATACAGAGTTTTTAGAAATTCCTCCTTTCAACAAGCAGTATACAGAATGCCAGCTTCGAGCAGGAGCTGGGTATATCCTTGAAGACTTCAATGAAGCCCAGGTGAGGACTTTATTTTGTGGCTACTCTCTTTCTGTATTGGGAAAAGGCCCCAGAGGGGTTTGGGTGGCTGAAGTCCAGGGTACTGTGCCACTGTGCTACTACTACTCCAGCCCAGCATTTTCATTGTACACAAGGAAGAGAAGCTAGAGTTTGTGTTAGGTGGTAGTGGCTCTGTAGAGACAGCACACAGATTGAACTTATGTAGTAAAGCTAGTATTGGTAGTGGTGTTTCCTTAGCCTGGAAGGTCAGGAACTGGGTGTGGTTTGCCTTCCAAAAGATGTAGGTGAGACAAGGAAACTGTCACAGGAAGCAGTTTGGGCTTCTCAGTGAGCCAATGCAATTTTAAGTACAAACACAGATTATTTAGTATTTTTGATACCAATTGGAAGTCTACATCTGTTCTCAAGGGCTCATTAGGTGCAGCTAATCAGGAAAGGTTTTCCTAGAAACCACCAGACCAGTCAGTCGGGCTTCTTTTCTTTTAGTGTAACACAGCCTACCAGTGTCTCCTAATTGCGGACCAGCACTGTCGAACCCGCAAGTACTTCCTGTGCCTTGCCAGTGGCATTCCTTGCGTGTCTCATGTCTGGGTCCATGACAGTTGCCATGCCAACCAGCTTCAAAACTACCGTAATTATCTGCTGCCTGCTGGGTATAGCCTTGAGGAGCAAAGAATTCTGGATTGGTGAGTGTTTGGGAGCCCATATAGAGCTGAGAAGACAGGAAGACTAGCATTTTGGGAAGAAAGTCTAGTTGAGAAATTGAAGTGTTACTAGAAACTGGAATGTCTGTAGACTAAGAATGAATTTGAAATAATTTCAGCAGTTAAAGTACTTTACTGCCAGAGCCTCATTTTACATTGGTTGGGAACCTTCTGTGTGTGGAAAGATTAGTGTATGTGGTCAGTGTTCTCCATTACGGGAAGCATTGAAATTACAATTAAGTTTCAACTATTAAACTTTAAGAGAGAGGGGAGGCGGGGCTGGAGAGATGGCTCAGCGGTTAAGAGCACTGACTGCTCTTCCAGAGGTCCTGAGTTCAAATCCCAGCAACCACATGGTGGCTCACAACCATCCATAATGAGATCGGATGCCCTCTTCTGGTGTGTCCAAAGACAGCTACAGTGTACTCATAATAAAATAAATAAATAAATCTTTAAAAAAAAAAAAAAAAAAAGAGAGAGGGGAGGGGACTAACTTGATTTGTTTACTAGCAAAGTCTGGGATCCTAGAATGTATACCTTATTCAGAAGAGAGGCAGAGCATGTTCAGTACATGGCTTAAGAAAGCATGCAGACGGGCCGGGTGGTGGTGGCGCACACCTTTAATCCCAGCACTTGGGAGGCAGAGGCAGGTGGATTTCTGAGTTCGAGAGTTCAAGGCTAGCCTGGTCTACAGAGTGAGTTCCAGGACAGCCAGGGCTACACAGAGAAACCCTGTCTCGAAAAACAAACAAAACAAACAAAACAAAACAAAAAAAAAGCATGCAGACATGAAGGACTCCCTTTGCAGAGCTAATTGTTAGATATGATGGGCCATACTAAGTTTCCAGTTCCCAAACACCGTCTCCAACTCTTTCACAGGCAACCCCGTGAAAACCCTTTCCAGAATCTGAAGGTCCTCTTGGTGTCAGATCAACAACAGAACTTCTTGGAGCTCTGGTCTGAGATCCTCATGACAGGAGGGGCAGCCTCGGTGAAGCAGCACCATTCAAGTGCCCATAACAAAGGTACTGGAAAGCCTGTGTGTTTCATAGTCATTCCAGGGATGTTCTTAGACTCATACCTGTTAGCCTGTGTATTCCAATTCTGCCCTCATTTTTAAGATAAGTCCCACCTTCAAAAGGGATATGATGTAAGTGAAGGATAATGATATTCAGGCTTCTATAGTCTCCAGTGGCATTTCCATTCAATGTTCTACAAGGTCAGAAGTGGTGATTACAACTTGTATTTTAGATTGTGAACATACAGTATCTGGAGTAGAGGGCTTTGGTGTGGCTGAGTAGGGAATACTGGTTAGAAGGCACACCTGTCTCTTTTTACTAGAAGCTAAACTGTTCTTTCCTCATTCACTTCCCTCTACTTTTTGCAGACATTGCTTTAGGGGTATTTGATGTGGTGGTGACAGACCCCTCATGCCCAGCCTCGGTGCTCAAGTGTGCTGAAGCCTTGCAACTGCCTGTGGTTTCACAAGAATGGGTGATCCAGTGCCTCATTGTTGGGGAGAGAATTGGATTCAAGCAGCATCCAAAATATAAACATGATTATGTTTCTCACTAAAGATACTTGGTTTTACTGGTTTTATTCCCTGCTATTGTGGAGATTGTGTTTTAATCAGGTTTTAAGTGTGTCTTGTGTGTAACTGTATTCTTTGCATGGACCTTGTACATAGTTTTATTTGCTGGACTTTTATGATAAAATAAATGTTGAATCTCTTTGGTTGTAGTAACTGGGATGTCTTCATCTGTTTCTTTGAGCTTAAAATCTCAGAACATGGTAAACACAGGATCTTCTCTGAAGTTTTTTTCAGCAGGCTTGCCACTTTAGCAGTAAAGCAAACAAGGGAAGATAAAAATAGAGGAATGAACTTTATTCTGTGGCACCACTATCAATGTCAAAATGTTATCCCAGGCTACCTAAAATGTTACGCTTCCAAAAACGCAGTTTAAAGTAGGTGCCTAGATGAACAGTACGTAGTTCTAAAGTTGAGTGGGACTAGGGACAGCTCTGGGTATCAGGAGTTTATTAACAGATGACCTGCTACTGGGAACATGAACATGACCAGTTGTTGAATGGACAGTGACTATTTGCTGAGACAGTTCTCAGTAAAATAAGTTGTCACACAGTTGGAAGCTATTCCTTCCTCACACTCATCATCATAACCCCTGATAACGAATGACTTCTCATTCTCTAAGTGAAGGCTGTCTTATTTCTATAGAGCCAAATAGTAAATACTTTTAGGCTTTGTGGTCACTTGTCTGTCTCAACTTCTTGTCTTGCTGTGAGATGAAAGCAATCATAGACAATAGGTAAATGAATATGTGTGGTTGTTTGAATAATACTTTATTTACAAAAACAAGCAGCAGGCTGTTATCTGCTAAGCCCTGCTTTTAGAGGTAACAGTGGAAGGGGTCGATCCTCTCCAGTTGACAAGTACGGGGCTCAGGCTTTCATGGTGGGCAGAAGACAATGTAGATGAAGAGAGGATTAAGTGACTACAAACTGAGGCCCGAATGCTGTGTTCTTGTCCAGCTTGAAGGGAAGGCATGTCAGTGAAGTGTTCCTTTTGTTTATGCTGATGAGAACGTACTAACGTTTGTTATAGCCAGTGGTGGCTAGGCTGTCTGACCATAAAACCTTAACTCCTGTGGCAGGTCTAAGGTGGGAAAACTGGGTTGCAGTTTTCAGTTTCTAAAATCTGAACAATTTGACCTCTATCATCTTTAAATTCTTCAGATAAAGGATACTCAAATTTTAAATTTCTGGGTAGGACAAATTATAAGGTACAGAAAAAGGAAAAGCCCGCAGCTTGTCTAAAGGCTTTTCTAATTTGGTGATAACAAATAGAAGCTTACCTACGCATAAGCACGATTCCTTTCTTACAAAAGAGCCAAGCCTAAAAATATTCTATCAGTCCCCATTGTTTACTGTGGTTATCTTCCATAGGAATACAGTAAATGTTCAATAAACCACTGTTAATAAACCACAAATGAACCCACTCAACAGATGTCTTAGTGTAAAGGATCAAAGCCTTCGTGTGGTCAGCAGAGGGATATCAGACCCCAGTTCCCCTACAGGAATGGTAGGAAAGATTTATACCTCTGAACTTCTAAGACCCTTTCAGCAGTCTGTAGGCATTTGATGAATGACTAGAGAGATTTGTTACAGACATCAGAACGTGGTAGGGCTGACTGTTACTTCATTTTATGAACCAGAGTTTTCACATCCCAAAACTATAAAAGAAAAAAAAAGAGTTTCATTAAAATGTCATGCCTTCCAAAGAAGCATGGCAATCTGAGAAAAGCTAACACCACGACAACAACACAGCTCTCTTAAGAAGCTGTCCCACTGGATATCAGTATTAGATCTAAGGAGTTGAGAAGAGAGAGCAGTGGCCAGTGAAGCACGGAACCACAGCTGCACCACAGCTGCACCACAGCTGTACCACAGCTGCACTGCTGCTAGTACATGTCAGAACAGGCTGTGGAAGCCAGACTGCCCGCCCCCTAGAACATAGCAGTGCATAACCTAACACAGAACTTACCTCAGTTATAGTATTTTACTATGCTGATGAATCTCACTAGAAAATAAATTCTAATAAAATAATGGAATATGATCACCCTGCTCCCACACCCCTCCCCCCCTTTATAAAATGAGGGCAATCTGGAGATGATGGCAGCGTTGCACTTTGGTCTTCTATAGTTCATTAACCCCCTCCTCCAAACCTAGTAAGTGCCCCATGGATTGTTCCTACCTGCCCAGAGTCCCACCAGCCTGGGTGTAATATTTGTTATAGTCTAGCCGGAGCAGTAATTGAGCCAAATCTGAGTTGATCTGGTGATTCCGAACACTGGAAAGAATCTTGAACAGGAGTGAAGACTGGCGACTAAACCCCTGTTGAGAGACCCAAGCTGTCAGTGACCATGAAGAGTGCTGGGTGCCTGGGGGGTCTTTGGAAAAGCTTTGCTTAAATGTTTGCAGGACCACCTGGCCCTTCCCATATTTCCATTTCTATCAGCTACTAAAATGACTTTGACTTCTTAGTACCATGTCCGTGAAATGCATGACTCCCATGAAAGTATTTTCTTATTAGTAGGAACTTTAACAGCTCGTTTAAGATTAATGTATTCCATCACATACTGGGATTGCAGTGAGCTTGCTTTGTTACAAGGAGATAAATATAGTCTGAGATTATAATTACAAGTGAGATAGGAGGCTGGTTCAGGGAAGGAAGTGGGATGTGAGAAAATGAGCACAAAGCCAATGCATACTTGGTGGGCTGAATAAACTATTCAGGGCTGAACTATTTCTGAACACTGTGAGGCAGCACATTATAATCATCAAAACCCACTGATACCAGCACTTTTACCTTTTTATCTTGTCATTTCTGTGTCTGTTCTGGAAAATGCTTTACTGACCCGGAGCAAACACTGCTCGCTCCATAGGTGGGGATGGAGGTATGTATTTTCAGTGGCTAGGCAGACTCACCTTCACGAGAATGCTCAGCTGGGCAGCTCCACGCTCATCCAGTGGACCCAGGTTCTGACTGACCAGTGAACAAAAACTGTGACAGAGATCTAGGATTTCATTCAGACAGTGAAACACCTACCCAAAAATATAGCTGGCGTTAAGAAATGAAGAAATCTCTGAGAAAAGTTTTTAACAGCTTACCTCCCATGTCTGATCTCAGCAGACACACCACAACCTTCAAAGCTGTCTGGCCCTCCCAAGCAACATACAGAATCCCTTCTTAGGACGGCTGGCTTCTCTGACTCCCTGGACAAAAGCTCTGCTCTAGTCACCATTAACTCACCATTTCTTAGACCCACTGAGTATGCTCTTGTCTTTGAGCTCTGAGTGTTGTTCCCGGGGATTTTCTCTCTTCTCTTTAGTAACAGTTCAAGCCCCATTCTCTGTGAAATGCTCCTTTCCCACTGCAGTCTTTAATGATCTCCAGCCTTCTTCTGCTGTAGTGTCTGTGTTGTTCATTGGTGATTGTCTGGGCCACCTGTGCTGTTGCTGACTTCTGTATGTACATGTCTTGTTTCCAACTAGATTGTGAGCTCCTTAAGGGCAGAGCCATGACTTATACCTCTTTGTATCCCCAGTGCCTTGCATACAGTAAGCACTCAATAAAAGACTTCAATTATGATGACTTGTTGTTCTGATGTGCTTTTCCTCAAGGATAGACCCATGCCATGCAAGCACAGTGCCTACCACTGTATTTTAGAGTGGCAGCTGCTTAAGTTACTGCTTCTTGGTGAAGGAAGTAGCAGCCCCCAAATACCAGAGTACAAAGAAGCCCATACCATTTATGGTTGGTGCCCTGTATAGTACAACTTGCTCACTGCAGTGATTAAAGTGTAAGCACTATAGGGTTATTTGAGTCCCACTTTTCACCTTGGGATTGGGACCAGCTTGTATGCTTGCAATTATTGGTGCTAAGACACTAGTCGTTTGACTTAAGAGTTTTCCGGCCTTAGATTTTTCACAGGGTCACAGATGATTCCAATATGTAGTCAGTGTTGCGTGCCACAAGTGCTAAATGTGTGTGCTTGTGATGGACATATACCCAGGCACAGTGTACCTATGAAAACAACTTTCAAATTTTTAGATGATCTTGGTCCAACAGATTTCTAAGAAAGTGAACTCCATTGTTTCCCTGTAGAGTCAGAGAGATTTCTGAATTTCTCTAAGTCATTTAGGAGTGGGGGTGTCAAACATATTTTTCCTATATTTATTCACCTTTAACATCCTAGTTCCCTTTTAACACTGTCTTTTTGTTTTACTTTGAGTTGTCAAAAATGTAAGAATGAAATTGAACATGCGCTGAATAACAGTTTCATTTCTTGTCAATTCCAAGAGCCTACAGGAACTATTAGGCTAAGCAAACAACCACTCCTACTTACAGGCTTCAGCAAAATAAAGGATTGGGCTAGCAAATTGCTTAGGAAGTGGTCGTGCGCCAATCGGATGCTTTCAAAGTCCCTTGTAGAATTGATCTGATGAAGCAGCTGTGAGAACTGAGACTCCAGCACATCTACCTGATAAAACAGATAAAACTTTTTTTAGCACCTGGCACATCCTGAGGGTTCTATTTTATGGTTCTTCTCATCTTTTATTTTTAGTATATGCGTGTGAATTGCTCATGCCACAGAGTACATGTGGAGGGCAAAGGACAAATTTCCAGGATTGGTCCCAGGTCATCAGGCTTTGTGGCTCGAGCTTTTACCCACTGAGCCATCTCACCAGCCCTCATCTTCCTTCTAACCACTTTAGGCTGTCCAGTGACATGTTTCAGTGCTGAGCCTTGTAGAGTGTGTGTGTTGCTTGGGGCCGGTGTATGCAGGGGAAGGCTGTAGCACTGAACTACCTTCCCTGCCATTTGTTTCTTTTGATACAGGGTCTTGCAGCTCAGGCTTTGCAATTTTCTTTCCCGACACTTCCCAGTGTGGATGTTACAGTTGTGTGTCAACAGAACTGGTTGTATAATTTCTGTTTTTGAGACAGGGTCTCATGTAGCCCAGGCTGACCTGAAACTCATTGCATAGCCAAGAATGACCTTGAACTTCTGATCCTCTTGCTTCCACCTCTGAAATGTTAGAATTACAGGCTGGTGCCACCACACCTGACATTTTGCAGTGCCTGAGCTCCAACCCTTCCTGAATGCCATGGAAGTACTCTACCAACTGACCTACATTCCCAGTCCCAGTTGTTAATTCCAAATAATAATAATAATAATAATAATAATAATGTGTTTTTCTTGCGTGTATGTATGTGCATCACATGCACACCTGGTGCCACAGATGCCAGAAGAGTATGTCAGATCATTTGGGATTAGAGTTGTAGATGGTTGGATCCACCATGTGGATGCTAGGAAACAAACCTAGGTCCTCTGCAAGTGCAGTCAGTGCTTCAAATGTCTGCAGATCACTCTTCCCTACCCCAGTGTAATGCACTCATGCTGCGTCCCTTCCACTGACTTAGAGCACACTTGTCCAACATGTAGTCAAGGGAAAGGTATGGGATATGCAGAGCCAAGGAACAATAAAAGTTACAAAATTAGTCAAAAGATTGTAAGTTTCTTTTTCTTTTTTTTGGCCAGGCATTGGAGGTAGGGGTTGTTCCATGGTTCTTTGATGTGAACTTTTTAATTGATGATGTCACGCCACAATGTCAAAGGGTTGGCTGTGTCTGAGAATTCCAAAACACAAAGGGTCATGTCAGCAATCAGTGCATTGTTAATACGTATCCTAATTCCCTTTATCCATTTATTTCCACTTAAAATGCCAAGCCACATACCTAGGGACAGAACTACTCAGTTTTCTCCATCTGCAGCATTTTACCAAATATAGAACAGCAGACCCTTCTCTGCTTTCTAGGCTCCTTTTCCCACCTCTTCCATCCACTGCTCAGAACGCACCTGGAGATAGTACTGAAGATTATCTACCAAGAAAGCCATGTGATTTCTTAGGCGCCACTTGACTGCGTCTGTCTGGTTAGATTTGAGGTGCTTGCGCTGCATCTGGAGTGCCCAGCAGTGCTGCAGTTCAGCTTGGACACGGCGCACACTCAGTAAGTACTTAAAAACAACATTGTACCTGTAAAAGAAGCATCATTGAGATACACACCTTATTCCAACCCCTCCTGACACAACAGACATAGGGCTGTCACCTCTCTAGTAAGTGACAAGAATAGTGTATTTATGCAGTAAATTAGATAGCAGAGAAAAATGAATTTCAGTGGAACACCAAATATAACTAAGCCTCAGTAAGAGCCTGTCACAAGGGAATAAGGTGGAGCATGAGTGAGGACATCCAATGTCCTTTTAACCCTGCAGCCAGTCACTCATCACACCCCCATATACATCACACATGTGCACACAAAAACATTAAATACTAAAAAGTCTTAAACAGTAAGATAATATTAAATATTAGAATATTCTATCAAAATAGTAAAATAGTAAATACTTTAAGTATTAAAATGTGTTTATTTTATTAAATATTAAAAGCATTACTTTTTAAGCAATATTAAATAGTAAGTAAAACCCACATCTAACAAGGAGGTGAAAGGACTGTGAGTGGGCAAACTTTGGAGTCTCTACCCAGGTCTGTACATCTTGTCTGGCTGGACTGTGAGTTCTGAACCTGTTGCAGGATCTTTTCCTTGCATCAGCCTCATCTTTTCCTGATTCTACACTCCTCTGTATATTCTAAAACAGTAGGTGAGCTGGGAAGAACGAGGAGGCTAGAGAGAGGTAGGCTGAAAGAAATGGTCTTTTCCTTATTCTTGTAACCACAGTGAGAATGGTTTCCTTATCCTGTCTCAGGTTGCAGTGTGCTTTTCTCATGTCCTTCCTGAGGATATCCTGTCCCACCATGCACTGGGCAGATGTTCATTCCAAGGAACAGGATTGTAATCAAAGCATTACATGATGGTCCACATTGAATCATGGTCTAGCCCCCTCATTCCTTTGCCCTACCTTGGCTGTCTTTCCATGGAGGTAAAAGGATTGTGCTGGTTCATTTGTAGTAAAATTGATATAAGCTAGGGTCATCTGTGAAGGAGGAGGCTCAACTGAGAAAATATCTCCTTTCAGCAAGTCTGTGGGGGCATTTTCTTGATAATGACTGATGTGGTAGGGTCCAGCCCACAGTGCAGTACCATCTCTCTGCAGTGGTTCTAAGTAGTATAAAAAAACAAGCTGAATGAGCCATGAACAACAAGCCAGTAAAGCAGCACTCCTCCATGATTTCTGCTTCAGTTCCTGCCTCCAGGTTCCTGCTCTGACTTTCCTTCTTGATGCTATATGCTCAAGCCAAACTAAAACCGTTTGTTTCTGGGTACTCTTCACCACAACAACAGAAACCTAACTTATATAAGGGTCCCAAGTACATTAACATCATGAACAGTAAATCATAAAAATCAGGGGAGGTCTTCTAAGGACTGTTGGGAATAGTCAAGTGCCAGAACTTAGTATCACATCTGAGTCTTCATATTCCAAAGGCCACAAATTAGTCTACAAATAACAAACTACAATTGCTTATTTGTCAATTGAAACATGTCTGGGCTGGGTATGATGGTACAAGCCTTTAATCCCAGGGCTTGGAAAGCAGAGGCAGGCAGATCTCTGAGTTTGAGGTCAGCCTGGTCTACATAGTAAGTTCCAGAACAGCCAAAGCTGTATATACAGACTTCTCTTAAACACAGTCTGGGGCTAGAGAGATGGCTCAGTGGTTAAGATCACTTGCTGAATTCAGTACCTGGTACCTATACTGGGTGCCTCACAATTGCATGCAACTCCAGTTCTGGTCTCCATGAGCACCAGCATGCATGTGTACAGACACACACCCACATAAAAACAATCTTAAAATGTGTCATTTTGTGTGTGTGTGTGTGTGAATGCAAGTGGGCATATGCTATGGCACTCATGTAAATATCAAACCAGACCTCCCTTTATACCCTGTTTGAGACAGTGTCTTTTTGCTGTTTGCCTCTGTGTATGCCAAACTGACTGGCTTGTGGACTTACTGATATTCTGTCTCTACTTCCTATCTCATAATAGAAATGCTAGGATTACAAGGCATAGTCATACTCAGCTTCAGATGCATTCTGGGGATTCAAACTCAGGTTCTCTCTTTATAAAATGAGTTATTTCTCCAGCCCTAGTCCAATTGATTCTAAGTGGCTATATGCCTTCCAATTTGTTCAGGTCCTTACCATTCCATATTGTCTCATGGCTGTCACCTCACTTACTAATGTGAATTGCCTTCATCAGATTTGCCTGTGGGCAAATCTGTGGAGCATGTTTTTGATTGATGATTGATGTGGAAGGGCCCAGCCACTGTGGGTGATACCATACCTGGAGAGATGGATCTGGGATGTGTAAGGAAGCAAACTGAAGAGCAAGCCAGTAAGAAGCCAGTAAGAAGCATTCTTCTAGCTTCTGCCTCTGCTCCTGCTTAATTCCTATACTGACTGCTCTCAATGAAGAACTGCTGTCCAGACATATATACCAAATAAGCCCTTTCCTCCCAAGTTGCTTTTTATCAGTTGATTTTTCACAGTAAGAGAAAACAAACTAGACACTCGTTTAGCTCCTGAGTCTGCAACCTCTAGCCTTCTCGTGTAGAAACCAGCTGCACGACTGGCTTGCTTCTATCAATGCTACTCTTGTTCACTTACTTTCCCCTTGGATGATAATGTTTCCCTTGGGAGGGTAATATTTATTTGGATGAAACTCAGAAATACTTACTTTTCCAAGACAGCTGGGGTGAAGAGAATGTGCAGTGGCCACTGTACTTTGTAGGAAAGCCCTAGAGCAGCCCAGCCGGAAGAAGGAGCTTCCCGGGGGGATGTTTCCCGAGAAGGCACTTCTCTTGGTTGGGTGGCATCTGTTACATAAAGACGATAACGTTGTTAATTAGAACCCGAGAGAGAAGGTGAGTTACACACACACACACACGCACACACATACGAGACTTCAGTAGTGCTGAAAAGCAGCGCTGAGGCAATAATGGCAGAGGGGAGGAGACCTCTGCGAGAGCTTTTCCTGAGAGGTGCCTTAGAGAAAAATATAGACACATCTCAAAAACAACATTGGAGTGCCTCAACCTTTCTGGAATTACATTTGTACCTTTACAAAATTGGAGTAATAAACTAGGTGATTTCTACAGTCTGAAATTACGCAGTTTCTGTGGAGGGATAATAAAGACCAGAAGTTGCAGAGAGGAAACAATCAGAGAATAGCAAACCTTTGTGGTCCTTTCCGTGATACTCAATTGTCAAGTGCAACAGAGGGAGAAGGTTGTCATCATCTAGCAACACCTTGTGTGCTGACTGTTGAAAGGCCACATTCACATCTTCAAGAAAGCACATGAAAGCAACAGCATGGATCAGGGTCAGGGCATCTGTGCCTTCTGTCTGATAGCATTAAGTCCTCCTCCGTGTTATTCACAATTCTGAGAGAATCGCTCCTGTTCAGTGCAGTTCCTATAGTGTCAGTGGGGCTGGCAACACAATTCTTGGAGACACAGCATGTCAAATAGGTTATGACGGCTGATTTTTTTTAACTTCATTTTGGCTGTTTTTTTTATAGACTTGATTTAAACAATCACGACCCTCCATTTTCCCTCCCATTTTCTTTGTCTTGGCTCGGATCCTTATTATATTCTTGTGCTTGGATGGGGGTGACCATTAAACTGACCAAGGGGAAGACACTTGCTGAAAGAGGCATATCCTAATCCTGACTTCTTCACTGTTACAGTTATAGCCATGCTGATCTGGAGATGGCCAATTAAAACAAAGCACTTCACTAGATTTCTTTAATTTGCTTCTAGAGGCCAGGCTGGGCTGTTACTGATGTCTTGGGGAGTCCTCAGGATAAGGAGAAAAGTCTTGAAAGTACTGAAGTCCTTTGCTTTGGTTGTTCTGAAACCCAGTTATACCCAAGCATAAGGGAGCTTTAGATATAACTGCAATTTTTTTTTTTTGGTTTTTTTTTTTTTTTTTTTTGAGACTGCGTTTCTCTGTGTAGCCCTGGCTGTCCTGGAACTCACTCTGTAGACCAGGCTAGCCTCGAACTCTCGAACTCAGAAATCCACCTGCCTCTGCCTCCCAAGTGCTGGGATTAAAGACGTGCACCACCACCGCCCGGCGCAAATTATTTTCTAACTAGGCTTTCTGAGGTTAGGTCTCAGAAAAAAAAATAAAAATAGGTTTGTGGGGCTGGTGCACTGGTAATTAAGAACACTGGCTTTGGGCTACAGAGATGGCTCAGTGGTTAAGAGCACTGGCTGCTTTTTCAGGACTGGAGGACCCACATGGCAGCTCACAACTCTCTGTAACTCTAGTCTCAGAGGACCCAGTGCCCTCTTCTGTCCTCTAGGAACTGCACACAAGGTACACACACACACACATACATACATACATACATACATACATACATACATACATACATACATAC